CATCTCCTACATTTCCTCAACCAATTGATTTTTTTTCCTTTGAAATTTGTTTTTCTTCATTTATGTCTTTACTCCCTTCTACTAAAATTTGAATGATTTTTCATAATCAAATGTTTTTTTCATCTAAAGGCTTTTCCTACTCATCATATTCACTATATTTATTCATTATCTTGAGTAATGAATGATTTTTTATTCAATTTTTCTGCTACTATATTTTCAGCTTTAATATTTTCGTTTCCTTATATTAGCTCATCTACTTCATCCATACTTTCTCTTAAATGTTAGTGCTTAAGGGCTGATGTTTCCAAAAGACAAGAAGATCCATCAATATCATCACATTGAGGATAAAGAGAAAGAGAGAGAGAGAGATAAACACAATGTTGATGATGATTGCAAGCCCCCAAATGGCTGTTATATCATAAATGAGACAATGGAGATGTATTCATAAAGCACCATAGTCATGCAAAATAATAGTGGTTCACTAAATATCTGTTATATTAGAAATATATGAACTACAAGAAACATATCACCAATAATCTCAAAGATTCAAATGTAGATATCAACCTCCTTTTTCCCAAGGGATGCCAAGGAGATGTGCCTACCAATGTTGAGGCAACAACTGCTGCACTCTATGCCCCTTGAGCACCAACATGGAATGACACCCTGCCCATCATTCTGCTGATTATGAGCATCCTTTTCTCTTGCAGAAGCCTACAAAGAGCACTATGGGTGATGCATATAAAGAGACTTGACCTCACTCCACCCTCCAATCTACTCATCTGCATCCTTGAGGACAATGTTCTCTCCCTATTATGGGGATGGGGGTAGGGTTTTCCTTGGTTTCCTTGTAACACTATTGAAGATTACAGTGCCATTGTGTGGTCCTTGGCTTAGTGTGTGCTGTGACATGTGCTCATCAAACCTCAGCTTTCATGCTTGCATGAGCGTAATAGTAAGCAGTTGACAACACAAACATCAGATCAAAAGAGAACATCCAAAAGATAGAGGCTGAGGGATAGGGGCAAAGAAAGAGAGGGCTGGCTAGATAGATGGGGAGACAAAGAGGGAGTAATAGTGTGCCAAAGATAAAGTTTTTCTTTATGAATATTTATTCAGAATTTTTAACAATTAGGTTACGAAAGAGTAAGATATATCTTGGAGCACACCAAATTCCGAGATATTGGTTGAGGTGTAGTTTGTGTGAGAGTAACATGTCATTGGGGTGAGAGAGAAAGAGATCTAGTGTAAGCATGAAAGAGAGAGAGAGAAAGATGACACAAGGCTCTTCAAATCATCTAAAACTTACTATGCAACTATTTCCATCCCTTCTCATCCCATTTTTTAATCACTCTTTGCTAGTAACAACTCACCCTCTAACAAGACAAACTCCTAAATTTCAATAAGCAAATGAACGACCTACTTTAATTTATGCACACTACCATGAAGTTCTGATAAATTTTGAGGTAGAAAGTTTGATCAAAGATTACAATGTGACTTGATTGCTATACAATAAATCACACAAATTTAAAATTTAGAAAACTAAAAAAATACTAATTTTAATTTTAATTATATGAATGTAAGATAATATCAAGTAAAAAATTATATTTATTTTCAAATAATATGATTTGTTATGATTTGTAGACTAAATGATGAAGATAAAGTGTATTTAAAAAATTAAAAAAAAAAATAATTTAAGTTCATATGTTAGGATGACATTAGCACTCTTATGAACAAGATTCAGACAAAAATAAAGTTCTACTCGATGATTCTTGCATAAATGATTATAAGTTATTTAGTTGATCAAATTAAGATCTATAAAAGTCAAAAGAATCATAATTGACTAAAGAAGATTTTCAAAACTTAGAATCACAAAAATCTCACTAATTTAAATAAGAATTAAGTTTCAAGTAAGAAAGATAAAGTTTTGACATCACAATTGTGTGCTGAAATTTTAAACATTTGAGAAGTTTCTTGAGTGATGACCTCAAAGGGTCTTTTCAAGCATTCACCATATGGGCATTCTTTAGATCTTCTTGTGTATTATAGAAATTGATGAAATGGGCCAACAAATCATCTTTGGTAGTTGTTACCTAGTAAAACATAAGTTTAGTGACTTTCAGATCTCTAATGGGTATCATTGAATAAAGATGAGTTCAATGGAGGTGGAGTGTCACTTAGGGAGTTTTATCCTCAAGTCTGTTGATAAGTCTTCATTATCATGAGTTAATAATTAGTAAATAATATAGTTTTAGCCTTAACTCATGATAAATAGACTTATATTTGTGTTAAAGCATGAAAAGTGGTTTTCAGTTGATTAACGTGAATTTTTGGGTAATTATGTGATTTTATACGATTTTTACAGTCTTAGTTTTGAGATAAATGAAGAACAAGAAATAAAAATAAAAATATTGCAAAATGGGGGGTCCGCCGGCCAGCCGGGCCCGCAAGCGGGTCGGAAGCGCAGTCGGGGAGTAGCCGCGAGCAGGGGCTCGAGCGGCTTGGTTGGATCGGTAGGGGCACGTGTGCGCCACTCCCCTTCCACGTCACCGGTGGTCAGCCGGCTGTGGGGCAAGGAGTGGTCGTACACGCGAGAGGACTTTGCCTAGAAAGCTAACTTTACTCTATATTCGCCCGAATAATCCGCCCACAACCGATGTGGGACTAAATCCACCTTGTAAGGGGCGGGCGACCGCCGCGGGTTCGAATCCTCCCAGAGTCAAAATTCATATATTTTTAACTGATTATCGCGACTTTCCTGCAGATCGCCGGTGAAGGATTAAGCAACCGGAATCGCTGGATCATCGGCGAAAATCTCGTCAACGCGATTCGCGGAGCATTGCTACTAAAATTTCTGAACGATTCGCGATAAAAGGATCGCAATCCATCGAGTAAATCATCTCCGATTGATCGACGAACAAGCCGTCGTCGGGAAGAGGACGATCCGCCGGGAGACCAGTCGCCACCTCCTGAGAGTGTACCAGATGCGATGAAGAGCCTCCTCTTGCTGCGTGGACCTGAGGATGAAGCTCCCTAACACGCGCCTCACCTCCATCCAGCCCCTCTCCGTTGGGTGACAGCCGCCGGAGAGCCACAAAGTCGCCGTTTTTCCGCTACGCCGAGTGACAGCCGCCGGAGACGATTCGACGACCCACTTCATTGGTCTCTAGACTTCGCGAGAAGATCTAGAGATTGCCCACGTCGTCTTTGTCCAAGGAGAGCCTTCGAGGCCGTGGACACTGCACGACGACCCTCCCGAATGCTCAGGATTCCGGTGCATCGCCGACGCGTCGCCGTCGCGATGCCGGAACTCTGTTTTCCTGCTTTATCTAGAGATTGCCCACATCGTCTTTGTCCAAGGAGAGCCTTCGAGGCCGTGGACACTGCACGATGACCCTCCCAAACGCTCAGGATTCCGGTGCATCGCCGACGCGTCGCTGTCGCGACGCCGGAACTCTGTTTTCCTGCTTTATCTAGAGATTGCCCACGTCGTCTTTGTCCAAGGAGAGCCTTCGAGGCCGTGGACACTGCACGACGACCCTCCCGAACGCTCAGGATTCCGGTGCATCGCCGACGCATCGCCGTCGTGACGCCGGAACTCTGTTTTCCTGCTTTCAATTTAATTTACGCTTCATTTAGTGATACTTTGTTGATTTTTATTTACCAAACTATACTTCGTTCAATTACGATTCTTCCGGCTTTTACAGATCTTAATTTGATTAATTGAGTCGTCTGTAATCGCCTACGTAAGAATCGTCGGGCGGAACTCTGTTTCCGCCTGATTCGCGTTCGCCGGGCGCTGACGTCATCCTGACGTCCGCACCCTTATTTCCTCTTTTTTTTGTGAATTTTAAATATATTTCCTTTTTATTTCATAGTATAAAATTCGTAAGAAAATCGTACTCATTGAGAAAAATTCTGAATAATTACCAGATATTATATTACATCCTTGTGATCGACCTGGAAAATTACCACTATTTTTGGAATTTTATTGAATTATAATTGATCTATTTATTTTGAAATACTTCTAAATATCCGAAAATTCGTATTTTCTAGTTTTATAAATTTTATATTTGCGTGATTTAACATACAACGACTGAGTCACGTCAAATTTTGGCGCCGTTGCCGGGGATGTATTGAATAATATTTAGTATTTTTCTGTTTTTCTCTTAGAGTACACAAAAAAAAACTTTACTCTTGTTTTATTTTCTTTTTGCCGATTTTTATTAGAAAAAGGGAACGAAAAGAAGCACGGCAAGGACTGGAGCATCCTGAAGGAGGGTAATAGTTACTAACTTTTTCCCTCGAATTTATTGATTTTTATGCATGGTAGAAGATCCTTGCATCCAAGGCTAGAAAATCCTTTCATTATTTCATTCAAAAAGAAAAATCCGAAAGAAAAATTAATTTTGATGGATCCTGAAGGAAGTACAGGTCAAACTGAGAACAATCCTATGGCCATGAAAAATCATTATATCCCTGATTCATTTCAAAGAGCATCTAATATTAGAGTCCCATTAGCACCCACTGTTAAATTCGAAATAAATCCAAGAATTTTTCAAATGCTCCCTAATTTTCATGGATTGCCTTTAGAGGAACCTCATCAGCACTTAGAAAAATTTCATATGGTCTGTGATTTAGTTAATCTCCCTCAAGTTACACCGGAAATTATTAAGATGAAATTATTCCCTCATACACTTAGGGACAAAGCTAGTCATTGGCTATCCACATTAGATAGAGAATTAACTAGCTGGAAAGATATAGAACAGGCCTTTCTTCGAAAATTTTATCCCTTAGGAAAAACTCAAAATATGAGAAAACATATATGGAGTTTTTCTCAAAGACCAGGAGAAACTTTGCATGAGACATGGGAAAAATTCAAAGATTTACTTAGAAAGTGTCCTCATCATGCTATACCCAAGTGGCAGCTCAATAGAATTTTTTATGATGGATTATTAGAACAACATACAAATATGGTTGATTCTATATGTGGAGGAGCTTTTATGGAGAAAACTCCTGATGAGATTTACAATCTTTATGAGAATTTAAGTGAAAATTCTAGAGATCAAGCCTCTTTTGAATTATATGACAGGGATAAGAAGAGAGGAATTTATGAATTGCATCATGATGATGATTCTAAACTTAGAAATGAGGTTAATCAGATTAATCAAAGATTAGAAAAAATTGATTTACTTATTGATAATATTAGAAAGCCTTTTAACCCTCAACTTAATTCGAATAGTACATGTCCTATGTATGGTGAAAATGATTATTCTGAACTTCAATGTTATAATTTAGATCAATCATTTCACCCTATGCAAGAACAAGTGCAAGTAGCTCACGGTTTTAATAGAAATAGGGAAAATTTTTCAAATTCTTATAATCCTAATTGGAGGAATAATTTTTCATGGAGAGACCCAAATAATATTCAAAATCCAGAAGCACTTAGACCCAATTCAAACTCTGAATTTCGTCCAAAACAAGAAAATAGATTTCAGAAAAATCAGCCCTCTCAAACCCAACCTGATGCTATGGAAATGATGCAGCAAATGAGCCAAATGATGCAACAAACTATGAGCCAAATGATGCAACAAACTATGAATCAAATGATGCTTCATCAGAAACAAATTATAGAGGCTCTTGAGAATAAGAGAGAAGAGGGACAACTACCTCGTCAGCCCATAGAAAATTTAGAAAACTGTCTAACAGTAAGATTTCAGCAAGAAGAGTCTAGCTGGATAAATTTAGAAAAAAACCCACGAAATGAAAATGTTAGAACAGTGAATATATTGAGTGAGAATATTTTACCTGAACCTTATTTTCAATTATTAGAAGAAATTGATGATCCATTAGAAGTAAATGAGAATATTAAGGCCAAAAATGTAGTAGCAGAAAATTTGAATAAAATCATTTATTGCTCACAATTGATGAATGAATATAGCGAGGATGATGAGGAGAAAGAACCCTTAGATGAAGAAACAGCAACTGATCATAGAAAAATCATCCAAATTTTAGTAGAAGGGAGTAAGGACAGAAATGAAGAAAAATATATTTCAAGTGAGGAAAAATCAACTGATTTGGGAGATGTAGGAGACGAAATTAATGAATCTAATCATAATTTTGCAGCCATGGATGTTGATTGTGAGGATGATGATGTATATCATATACCAAAATTTAAAGATAGCTCTTGGGAAGATGAAGAATTTGATGAGTTGAGAAACGAAAAGCTAGAAAAAGAATTGATTCAACTAATGGGAACAAGCGAAAATAATAGATATGAATATAGAGATAATTTTGGAGGAGAAAATTTGAATTTTACTGAATTCATTAGATCTGAGATTAAAGAAGACAATCCTTCCATCCTTCAAAACCCACAGCCCATTAGAATTATTTCTAAGCTTGAAATATTTCACTCCTCACAAATTGAACAAATATGTATGGAAGATAAAATGGAGCAGGGGAAGATTATGCAGATAAAAGAAGACATTAAGAAATGGGTGAGTGGAAGAATTAGAGATACCAATTTAGATGAAAAAATTCTAGATTGGGCAAGAGCTAATCTGAAAATTATATGGCCTGATCACATTTTATGGTTTATTAATAGAAAGTATTTATTAATGAATGAGAGCCTAACAAAACAAGATAGAAATAAGGAAAGATTCTTTTCAAAATGGAAATATTATTTTTGGGAAAATTTTGTTAATTTCCATTTTTTTTTGGCTGAAAGTATGTCAAGGTATATATATGAAGTATATGAATTTATGCTAAATCTGAAAAAGAATATCATAAAACTTACCTTGGGATACAAATATATTTTGATGGCCATAGATCAGCTTATATGATATAAGAGCTGTCCAGCTGGAGACATTAAATTCAGCGCTGCATGGGAGGCAACCCATGGTTTTTATTTCATTCTGTTTGATTTTTTTTTAAGCTCTGTTTTTCTTAGAATTTCGCAGTACTTGTTTCTGTATTTGTTTTTCTTTCGAAAAAGTGCAGGAGGAGTGTAAGATGAAGTGGAAAATTAAAAACGAGGTTGAGGTGATGTCTTTCTGAGCTTCATCATTTATGAAAATATTTTTAATGCTTAACTTTGCAGATATGCATGCTTCACTTGAAAATTATATTTTCTGCATATTCTGTTTCGAGTTTTCTGTGTCATTGAGGACAATGTCATTTTTAAGTTGGGGGGTGAAGTATTCATTATTAATTTATGCTGTAGGACGATTAAGAACATGTGTTTGCATTTTATTCAACTTAGAACAGCAACTAAAAAAATAAAAAAAATCGCCGAATTCGGAAAAACTGCAACATCTATTTTCTGGTTTTCTGTCAGGAACAACAGACTGTCAAAAACAGCAGATGAAAAAAAAAAAAACCCGAAATTTGAAATTATAGAGACCCTTTTCTCACATTTCAATCCCCTAGATATATATTACTGAAATTCGAAATTACAGCTATAAAGAAGATAGTTTTGATTTATTTTTGACAAATTTATTGCTGCTAAAATAGAACTGAAAACAGAAAACAGAACTGTCAGAACTATCTAATTTACAAATTCCTTACATCATATTGCATGCATGAAAAATTAAATCAATTAGATTGATTGATACCAAAAGATACTAGGAAGATTATTATTGAGTCAAAAGAATGATCTAGTAGCATGAAATGTTGGAATACTCCTTGGATACATGATAGATAACATGGATTTGATTTTACAAATTTTCACTTCATGATCTTGATGGATAATATTTACTTGATGTGAAAATTTGATTGATCATTTGAGTTTAATGGAGATTTTTGCACCCTGATCTATAGGACTTGTGAGGAGAAATCACTTATTTCAAAAAAAAAAAAAAAAAAAGAGAGAGCAATGTGAAAAATCTAGAAACGAAGAGTACACATGGAGGGTGTGAGACATCATTCTCATTGTCGAAAATCGTGCATAGAAAAACACTTGCTGAAAAATAAGTGGATAAAGTGAAAGCCCTGAAAATGAAGAGTACACATGGAGGGTGTGAGACATCATTCTTATTGTCGAAATTTGTCTACATGAAAAGCTACTTATCCACTATATATATAAAAAAAAAAAAAGAAGGAAGAAATATAGTGCAAACTTCAAAAATCAAGTCATAGAAAAAGGGAAATGTAAGATCAATATTATTCTTGAATGAGTATTGATAATTGGAACATCTTGTAAATACATTTATGAGTGAAGAAGTGATAAAGATGTGAATAGAAGATGTGAAGTCTAGATTGTTATTCCAAGGAGTGTTTAAACATTTAAGTGCTTGACATCATTCTTAAATACTTGATATAAGAATCCAAAGTGTTTAAAGGTGCATCATTTCTAATTGTATTTCTTTTCTGTATTGAAATATGATGTTTGAGATTTGTAAATTTTTATTTTCGTAATTCCATTGCTAAGGGACTAGCAATGATTTAAGTTGGGGGGTGTGATAAGTCTTCATTATCATGAGTTAATAATTAGTAAATAATATAGTTTTAGCCTTAACTCATGATAAATAGACTTATATTTGTGTTAAAGCATGAAAAGTGGTTTTCAGTTGATTAACGTGAATTTTTGGGTAATTATGTGATTTTATACGATTTTTACAGTCTTAGTTTTGAGATAAATGAAGAACAAGAAATAAAAATAAAAATATTGCAAAATGGGGGGATCCGCCGGCCAGCCGGGCCCGCAAGCGGGTCGGAAGCGCAGTCGGGGGGAGTAGCCGCGAGCAGGGGCTCGAGCGGCTTGCTTGGATCGATAGGGGCACGTGTGCGCCACTCCCCTTCCACGTCACCGGTGGTCAGCCGGCTGTGGGGCAAGGAGTGGTCGTACACGCGAGAGGACTTTGCCTAGAAAGCTAACTTTACTATATATTCGCCCGAATAATCCGCGCACAACCGATGTGGGACTAAATCCACCTTGTTCAGCGGCGGGCGACCGCCGCGGGTTCGAATCCTCCCAGAGTCAAAATTCATATATTTTTAACTGATTATCGCGACTTTCCTGCAGATCGCCGGTGAAGGATTAAGCAACCGGAATCGCTGGATCATCGGCGAAAATCTCGTCAACGCGATTCGCGGAGCATTGCTACTAAAATTTCTGAACGATTCGCGATAAAAGGATCGCAATCCATCGAGTAAATCATCTCCGATTGATCGACGAACAAGCCGTCGTCGGGAAGAGGACGATCCGCCGGGAGACCAGTCGCCACCTTCCTGAGAGCGTACCAGATGCGATGAAGAGCCTCCTCTTGCTGCGCGGACCTGAGGATGAAGCTCCCTAACACGCGCCTCACCTCCATCCAGCCCCTCTCCGTCGGGTGACAGCCGTCGGAGAGCCGCAAAGTCGCCGTTTTTCCGCTCCGCCGGGTGACAGCCGCCGGAGACGATTCGACGACCCACTTCATTGGTCTCTAGACTTCGCGAGAAGATCTAGAGATTGCCCACGTCGTCTTTGTCCAAGGAGAGCCTTCGAGGCCGTGGACACTGCACGACGACCCTCCCGAACGCTCAGGATTCCGGTGCATCGCCGACGCGTCGCCGTCGCGACGCCGGAACTCTGTTTTCCTACTTTATCTAGAGATTGCCCACGTCGTCTTTGTCCAAGGAGAGCCTTCGAGGCCGTGGACACTGCACGACGACCCTCCCGAACGCTCAGGATTCCGGTGCATCGCCGACGCATCGCCGTCGCGACGCCGGAACTCTGTTTTCCTGCTTTATCTAGAGATTGCCCACGTCGTCTTTGTCCAAGGAGAGCCTTCGAGGCCGTGGACACTGCACGACGATCCTCCCGAACGCTCAGGATTCCGGTGCATTGGCGACGCATCGCCGTCGCGACGCCGGAACTCTGTTTTCCTGCTTTCAATTTAATTTACGCTTCATTTAGTGATACTTTGTTGATTTTTATTTACCAAACTATACTTCGTTCAATTACGATTCTTCCGGCTTTTACAGATCTTAATTTGATTAATTGAGTCGTCTGTAATCGCCTACGTAAGAATCGCCGGGCGGAACTCTGTTTCCGCCTGATTCGCGTTCGCCGGGCGCTGACGTCATTCTGACGTCCGCACCCTTATTTCCTCTTTTTTTTGTGAATTTTAAATATATTTCCTTTTTATTTCCTAGTATAAAATTCGTAAGAAAATCTTACTCATTGAGAAAAATTCTGAGTAATTATCAGATATTATATTACATCCTTGTGATCGACCTGGAAAATTACCGCTATTTTTGGAATTTTTATTGAATTATAATTGATATATTTATTTAGAAATACTTCTAAATATCCGAAAATTCGTATTTTCTAGTTTTATAAATTTTATATTTGCGTGATTTAACATACAACGACTGAGTCACGTCATCTGTATAACAAGAAGAGTCTTTTGGTCACATTTTATACGCTCTAATGAGACATTAACTCAATTCTTGATGGAGCATCTTCTTCTTGACAATGGTTTATTCATCAATCAATCAAAGATGATTTTCTCAAATGATTTGTTATTTTTGTATTTGAAATCCTTAGTCAATTGCTAACAATGATCTGCTAATAGTATTGACATAATTTTTGTTAATGATTCAGCAATTATGATGACTAAATTGTTCATTGGTGTTTTGTAGAAAAATTATGATTTAATAAGATAAAATGAAAATTTTTAGCTTTGGTGGGATTTAAAACCTCACTAGTCACTTGCTTGGTTGAGAGAGAGAATGTGAATTACCTACATACCCTTACCTAGTGAAGATGTGTTTCCTCTTTATAAGTTTAGAGTATTTTCAGTATTAAAAAAATTAGAAACCTACTAGTGAGCACTAACATGGTTTGGTTCTACATTAGATGTTTTATGACGATAGAGAAATATATATCAATACCCATTTTTGTCATCAATATACTCTCTCACACATATACATGTGTATATGACTACTCATTGCCCCATGCCCAATTGGCTACTAGTGATGGACACATGTCCTGATCAGTCCTTAGCCACTTGAGCCCACAGCTTGTGGCTCTACTCAATTGTGCTTCCAACTCGTGTGCAAGTTTGGTTGATCAATGGGTCCCTTGATTGTGCCTCTAACCCAAATGTAGGCCTAACTAGTCAACAAGTCTCACCTTTTTGAATATTTTTATTTTATTTTATTTTCTTTATTTATCTCAAAATATGATTATAAAGATTATATAAATTCACATAAAATTACATAATTAACTAAAAATTTACATTAATTAACTAAAACCCTTTTTCTCAATTTAATAAAAGTATGTCTATTTATCATAAGTTAAAGTTTAAATATATTATTAATAAATTATTAACTTATGATAATGAAGACTTCTTAAATTAGATGTTTAATGGTCCAAAAATTATAGTGGATAAAATTAAGATGAATTTTAAATTATGAGCTATAAAAAAGGGAATCAAGAAAGAAAAGTAGGACACGAATCAACACTCTCCCACATCATAGCACAGAGAATCTTTGAAACATCATAATACATAGCTAGCAGGCCAATTGTTCTCTCATACCATCCTTGTGGATGTCTAAACTAGCACTTGGTCCTATTGTTTGCTTGGTGGAGTTATCAATTAATGAAAAACCTTTTAATAAATGGTCCCCTTTTTCAAATTAATTTGTAGCAATTTTTTTTCCAATTATTATCATATATGGAGAATTACAACAAGTTTATTATTTCAACGTTACTTTCATCTCATCAATTTATTAGGTTGAAAATCTTGAAGACGATGAGAAAGAGAGAGAGAGAGAGAGAGAGAGAGAGAGAGGTAGGGTTGTGTCAATAATTTATTAAAATAAAGTGGGCAATGAAACGAAAATTATAAGGCCGAACAGAGTGACATCGTCATCAAAGACTCTTCACAAAGAGCTTTTGGTTAACAATTGCATAGCATTTTCCCTCCCATTAAATTAAAATTTGAATTTTTTTAGCATATGTGGGAAAATTAAACAAATGCACAGCTGTCCCAAGAGTGGCGCGAGGTTTATGACGGGGACCCTTGTTCATGATGTGGCCGCGCGTTGTGTTCATGCCCTTCCTCTTCCCCTGTTCAGTAGTTGGACGTCTTCGAGGGGCGAGCTCCGGCGTCCGCGCTCGCTCACTCCAGGTCTCTCTCTCTCTCTCTCTCGGTCTCTGTATCACACCGAAGGAATTCTTGGGAGAGTTGTGGGAAAGCGGAGGGAGAGCGGCCGCCAAACCATTGATACCAATGTCTCTCCCTCATCTTCATTCTGTTCACGGGGACTTGCAGATTGGCTGTTGTGTATCCTCATTTTCCCGCTCCCTTCTTCAAGACAATCACTTCTGTTATTCTGGGATCTATTTGTTCCTTTTGTTCTCTCCTTTTTCCCCGTCACATCTCTCTCTTTTTCTCTCTCTCTCTCTCTGATCTCTAACGTCCTGACGTCGTAACGAAGCTTTTGCACTTGCAGATGGATAGCCCTCCTTCGGAGTTTTCGGGGAGGTACTTTTACAACCCCACTCTGCGTTGGAACCGGCAGGTAGAGGAGTACTTTATAAACGCCTATGGGGCCGACCACTTTGCCAGAATCTCCAGGGCTCTCACGTAAAAACTGCCTTTCCAGTCTCTATCTGTTGTTGAAAGTGCTATTTTTTTTTTTGTTACTACGTGTAAAGAACGATTATTTGTGTCCTAAGGAGAAGACGACTACCCACTGAGCTATTTCCACATTTTTCATATTTTTTTCCATGTTTTCTTTGTCATGAAGACTTAGCCGGTACAAACTATGTTAGGAAGACATTTTCTGAGTTAACATGCCAATAATTCCACTGGGTTTTCTAGGAGAGGAGAGTTTCAGCAATTGCAAAAAGGAGAAAGTTTTCTTGTCGTTGTGACACCTTTGGTGAATGTATTTAAATTTTCTGTTAACGTTATCATAACATCCTTATTTTCATAAGGAATATTTCCTTGGGATTGTCCCGTGTAGCCCATATAACTCGGATTCAGATCGGATCAAGCTTGCTGGTTTTGGGTTCCATTTATATCCAGCTTCGCATTGGAGGAAGAAGGGATCAAATGCAGTAGTGCCAAGTAGGGAGAGTAAGATGTGCAATGCAGGCGAATAACTTTTAGTAGAAAACGTAATGGGGAGAAGCAGCACTTGTATTTAAAGGAGAATTATTTTAGGAAGTGATGTGTGAGGAGGTAGATGTGGTGCAAGTGATGGTTAGAGTGGAGGAGCAACATTAATCTTGATTTTTAAATTTTTGTCTCTAATAATCGAAGAGCTGAAAAATATTGTGCCAAAGAGCCATATAAATTGCCTCTTTTCTCTTGTGAAACCATTGATTATGATATGAGTAACTGAGTTTTTATCTGTTCACTGTTGGCCATATTTCATTTTGATACATGATGTCACACAAACAACTGGGAGTTTTCTTTCTATTATTCTTGATGATCAATTTTATGTATCCTTACCTCCCATGTTTTTGTTTTCTATTGTTCAAACTCAATATTCGATGCATCCTTTTGACTGATTTATTTTCCCTTTCCACATGTTCGTTTTTCGTTTCTTTGTTCAATAGGCACCCCTCTTCCTACTCCTGTGTTCGTGTAAATTTTCTAAGGTCTACAAGGGATGTTGTCATTGAGAAGCTTACATCTATTCTAAATGGAATAAACTTCAGAAGCAGTCCTGACTTGACATGCATGGGCAGAAACAGTGCTACTGCAGAAGTGGACCATGAAATCCAGTTACCTTCATCTAATGGATTGCCTAGGGATGGAGATATCTTTAAGAAACATCTATCAATTGACAAATGTCAATTGCCTGGTTTAGATTATGTTTTTTTTGTCAAAGGTTCGGGACCACATGTGATGCAATGTCGTGATTTCTTAGTTCAGCCACTAAAGGAAGTAATTGTTAGCCGGAAATGTGCTGAGGCAGTTCTTCGAGGGGCACAGGTATGGCCAGGTGTGTCATTCAAGCTGATGCATGCCAAACTTTCTTTTTCTTTTTCTTGTTACAGAAAATATTGATTGTACCGTATATTAGTTCTGTAAAATAGATGTACCAGTCCTGGACACTTCTGCTAGGATATATTTACCATTTGAACATGATTACTGTCTCAAACTTCCAATATAACTTAAATCGCCGAAAATTGAGCTGGTGGGTCATAGACGCGCTGAGCCCATGTCCTTGATTTCCACTTCCTTCCTTGACGTATATCTCCCCATCTCTTGATAAGCTCCCCTAGTTTCATCCCCTTTTCCCCAGTGACCACTCCCAACCGTTTCCCTTCTCTAGGCAACCGTCTCCCAGCCATCTCCTATGTGCCTTGGTGTTACCATGAGGCATGCTCCTGACTTTCCTGAAGGTTCCTCTGAGTTGTGTCTGGAGCCTGTTTTTGGGCTTTAATGGCTTAGGCCTATCCAAAGAGTACGAAGGCTCAACTGTGCATGGGAAGCCTCCTTCAATGCCCCTTTGAGGTCCTCTTTATTTTTGGGTTTTTAGGTTTTTAGGTTCAATTTTTATTGCGAGGTGCAAAATTGGGTGGTACGTTGTTGCAGTTTAAATTTTCCTGGTTTTTTTCTTTCTTATTTTTCATTCCTTTTCTTCATTTCTTCCTCTTCTGCTATCTGCTAAGAAGTGCATTACCCTCCCATGTCTCTTATTGCTCCATTATTGGCTAATAGGTCCAATTGGAAAGACAGGTTGCAGATATCTTTTTTCGCTTTTAAGGGGTTTTGTGGGAGGGAGGGTTCAGATGGGCACGAAATGACTCGATTTTCAAAATTATTTACTTTGTTCAACTACTAATGCTATGGATATGGGAGAATTGTCCCCCTTCCTTTGGGTCCCTACAGATACACAAATAAATTGCTTACTTATTCTTTGATTATGCTCTTTTGATGCGGGGCTTAAAAGTCTCAAGTCCCTCATAATTTCACTTACGATCTACTTCTAGCCAATGTAGATGCTAATTGGGTGAACTTTCATATATTCACTAGATTTCAATGATCGCTTCCTTTTCTCCAATTTAATGAAAGAACTTTCTTCTTCTATATCACTGAGTATTTGTAGAGCTAAGTGAAAATAATGATTTATTTCCACAGGTGTTTGTCCCTGGTGTGTTGGCCTGCAGTTCTCATGTGGAAAAGGGTGATGTTGTGGCTGTTTCAGTTGCTGTGGAGCAGCCTAGACCTGATGGTGAATGGGGTGTTGGTATAACACGTGGAACTGTCCTGCAGGGCCTGCAATCAGGTACCCAGTGTAGATGTCTTGAATGACGGTAAATCATCTATATCACCATTCATATTTCTCATTTGTTTCCAAAAAGGAATGGGGTCTGTCGCTAAAGAGAAAAAAATACTATGTTTTGCTTTCAGACTGAGCCTTGAAAGGAGTCACAGGGTTAAATACAACTTTAAGGACTCTTATTTGGTGTAAGTTTAAGATCAGGCTCAGTGCTTCTGTAGTCCAATATCTAATGTGGTCTCTTAGGAATGGAACATCCCTAACTAATTTACTAGTTTTCTCTTTCAAGGCGACTAATGTTAAGATGGAACACAAAGATCCGAGGGGAGTAATGAAGCCGGAAGCATGAGGATGCATAGTAGTGGGGTGTAAATATATTTGAACGTGAATAAGTTGATTTTTAGCATTTGGAATGGAAACTCAGATTTGCAATAAAATTGGTTGGCCATGAAGAAAGAAGTCCTCTCACAGGATCATATTCTCATAGCCCTCTTTTAGATTAAAACACCGATCCCAGTCACATAAATACCTAAAGCTTGACTCATAGTCTGATAACTTGACTAAAATGTGGCATGATGTGATGGAGAAGTTTACTAGATAAGGTTCAATTCTTGTTTGCCATTGGGGCCATTTAGTCTACTCGCTCTTGTATCCTGTGGTTTATGATTGGCTTGGATATTTTTTCACATAATATTGGAAACATTCATCATTATAAAAAAAAGTCTGTCTGATACTTTGTGGATTCTTCTTTTTGGTGAATACTTCGTGGGCTTTCCTGGGTTTTCTCATGGACATTATTGGCATATCCATCTCAGTTGGATGCTACAATCATTCTATTAAGTTTCAAAAATTATTGATCCAGTAATCCCTTGAGTTGGAAACAACAAATAACAAAACCAAGAGAGGAAGAAGGCTCCTATTGAGATACAGCAGCATGTATTTCTTACCAATTCCAGCTCATCTAGAGTTTCAACTATTATTTTTCTTAGACTACTAAAATTTATGCTTTCTCCTTTCTGCACTGCCTGCTGCTGTCCAATATGCCAGATTTAATGGCTCAAGGTAAAGTGGTTTCTTTTTAACTTCCAAAGCTCAGTTGTTCATGTTTGGAGTTTTAAACAAAGCCAGCTACATCATGCTTCACCGATTTATATTCATCTGAGGCTCTCTGGACGAGCGTCAAATTCACTGTTCTTCTCCCTTAACTTCATGCCATTATCATCTACTTATTTGTGCAAAAAAAATGAAGGACACGGGAATCAGTAAACATCAACTGTGAATAGTGCAGCTAGAATTATTCCACTTACCGACTGACCCATGGTTTTGCAAAGACTGAATCAATCAAGACAAAAAAAAATTGCATTTTAGACAGGCCTCATTATCAACTTTTTTTGATTGCACTTCAACTTGGTCACTGATGCCATTATCAAGTAGATTCTTAGATGCCTCCATTCTGCCATTTTTTTGCCTATTCGAGTCATTACATTTGTAGTTCACCTTTCCTTTGCTTTCAATGTCAAATTCCTCTAAGTGGATGTTTTGCGTACTTTTTCTTAGTGGTTGCAAAAATTTATTTCTTTTTCTCGTCGATCTTCGTGTTATTCATTAATCTGCTGCAAGGTGGGTGCTATAATTCATTGAGATGATTTAACTAAAGTGTGCTGAAGTTCTGGTGCTGCATGTCTTGACTTTCTTCCTCTATTCATCTTCACTATTATTAGGAAAACGTCCAACCGCGCCCACATTATAATCTCTGGTCTTCTTCATGATCATTTCTGAACAAGTATTTATTTTTTCGCAGATCCTCATTATCATGAAAGAAACGGCTTATACATTGGACAGGGTGTAGCAATGATGTCAAGAGCTGGAATCTTCCGTGTATCTGAAGGAACTGCTGTGGAAATGTCAAATAGGATCTACAATCTTCCATCTTTTCACGGTATCATACTATTTAACTTGAAATAGTGCCTTGTTTTTTTTTGCATCAAAGTTTTTTGCCGTGGAATGTAGTTGCCATACATTTTAGTTGGAGAGCTTAACTTCATTGCGGAATCTAGTAACAACTTCAAAAAAAAACAAGAAACAAGGAAATGGCAAGCATCTTCTAGCATGATTTCTTATCTCTGTAAGGTTTTTTTTATTAGGTTGTACCTCCACCTGTTACTTGTAATACCATTTCATATTTAATTTTTTGTGCTGCTCGAGGTGTCCTGCCGATTGCTCAAGTAAATCGTTTGCATATGCTAATTCATTTTCCTGGTTCTTTCATTGGAATTGTTTGGTTACTTGCTTTGGAGAATGTGTGCTATCTATGTGTGGAAGATGTTTTGAATGCTGATGACATCCTTTTTTTTTAAAGTACTATTTGTCATATGGACGCCCATTCTTTTTTGTTTGAATGACATGTAAAATGAATTCTGTTTTTTCTTATAGATATTTTGAAGGGGGAAATATTTCTTCAAAATTTGCCCAGCATCATTACTGCTCATGCCCTAGGTACGATTTACTTCCTTATTTTCTAAATTTTGCCTTCACTTGTTAACTATATATTTAAGTTCTTTCTTCTCTTATCTTTGTATCCTCAGTATCTTCTATGAGACTTATTTATATTTCGGTTTTGAAACTCCTATCTGATTATGCTCATTTTGAAGCATTAGTCATTATGGCACATTTTCTTGCACCATTTCTCCTATTGCCCCTCCGCTAGAAAATAATTATTTATTTTTCTACTGGGTATCTACATCTATTATTGAATGAAGTAATTATACTTATCAATATCATTCATATTAATCATTATATATTTGTCATATTAAAAAATAACTATTTTTATTACTTTTTCTAATCCATAGATTTATCTGCTAATGCATCTTTCCAAGTTAGTAATTGCTTAATGTGTTGTTATTTGGTCCTTCAGTCGCAGCACCAGGCCTTAACATTGAGGAACATGATATGTGTAGCTGCTAAAGCTAAACTATGAACCCCACCAGTCACCGCCCCCCTCCCCATCTGATGCAGCTCAGACATCAGGACGAAAAGTTGCTTGCTGTTAATTTACATAGATTTTACTATACTCTTTGTTCTTAGATAACGGGTGTACACTAATCAAAGACCTTAAATCACTTCGATTATATAGGTTATGGTGTGAAAATATGTGGTAGAAGTAGAAGAAAGAATTCATCACATGACATTGGATCAAAAGTTAAATCCCTCAGTCTAGATAAATCACACCGAAGAATCAAGCCCACTTGGTTGGGCCTTTTGGTGACTAGCATCTTCTTAACCTTGCCATCCTCACCCTAAACATCAGGGCAGGGAGTGTGGTCTTTTTGTCTCATATCAATTGCTCATATTTCTATGCTTGGAAGTTGATGCTGGAAACTCGTAAACTAGGTCTGTACAAAATGTAGCCTTGGTTGTTGACATGGTCCAGTCATGTGGGCCAACGACTTGTGACTCTGATAAGAGTGAGTCATGGGTTATTTGTCTGCCTTCTGGTATCAGTGCATTTTGTAGTCTGTCATCATAGTTAATAATCTAGTCAAGATCTAGCCATGTGCCCACTGTCTCCTACTATTTCTGCATGTCCTATAGAGTGCTTATTGCATGCTTTTCTTGATATCTATGCTCTGGATCCGTTTCATCCATAGGTTTCTTGGAAACATGGCTGGTCTCTTCATAGGCATGTTGAAGTCCCAACTCCATGGATACGGTACAAGAAAAACATGATCATTTTTGGACATTGATTAATGCTGCTATGAGACAAACCAGTAGAGAACTAAAAAGATACGTTGTGTTTTCCCTCATTTTGAAACCAGCGCAACCTCATTGATTTTTTTTTCTCACGTCCCACATCCACATGGTGTGACCCCACTCAGTTGGGAGACCACCAATTCATGTGAGACTGCATTTGGTACAGGAATAAACGCCATAGAGCACACTGACTGAAATATCTGTGAATGTAAACTTTCAAGATCTATGATGAGGAGAATACTACCTCCCACACAAGCATAAGAGAAACAAAGAGGTTTCCATGAGGCGTTGACTCACTCTGGAAAACACACGCCGGCCAATCTAATGGGGGCAGTATTAAGTGCGAGCACAGGTATTTACTAGACATCTGACAACTCCAAATACGGTTGTCCTGAAGATGTCTATGCTTGAGTGTAGAAACCTGAAGTATTACGAATGGAGATAATTATCACTGGTTGGGTCAGACTTGAGCCCTTGTGGGCAACTGGGATGTAAACCTGTTTCACTATGGTCAGCATGATTTAAATGTCATCACAGAGGTCTGGTGACGATTAGGGTGTGATTGTCCTGTGAAAGTTCACTCGGGACCACCGGGGTTCCAATAACGACAAAAATGATTTACATATGTTTCCTCCGATCTGACCTCGTCATACCACGGCATCTGTCTGCCTGATTCCCTGGGATGATTTTTATTGATGTGATTCTTGATACAATGGAAATCTAAAAACTTCTGTTGGATATGATTTCCTTCCACAAATTTCTTGTGTTCAAGGTTTTTTTGGAATATATGAGAGTTGATGGATGTTTCTGTTACGTTCAAATGGTGAATGACTTGTATGCTTTGATTTCTAATGTCTCTTTTCAGACTATTGTAGATGAATGCTGCGATTTCAGCCATAAAAGATTTTATTCATGTGTATACAGAGTTAATGCTCTTGCAGATCTAATGTATTTTAATCCTGTAATTATCTTACATTCTGGTTTTTCACGGATTTATTTTCTATTTATGATGTTGCCGCTATTTTTCAAATTCTATTAACTTAGGATCTCAATATCTTATGCTGACGCTTTATTTGCATGACCATGACGGAAAATTTTCTGATACATTGCTAATGCTAGTTTTACTGGTTATTGTATAAGTTAGATCCCCATGAAGGAGAACGCATATTGGACATGTGTGCGGCACCAGGGGGGAAAACAACAGCAATTGCAACACTAATGAGAGACAGAGGGGAGGTCATTGCATTAGACAGATCACACAATAAGGTAGGCGGGGTGCCCTTTAGGAATTCATCTTTCAATCTGTTATTTTCTAATGGTTTGTGGCTCGTAATTCATCTTTATGTTGGAGTATGCCCATCTCTGTAGTTCGAATTATTTTTTTTAGCGGGAGTAATAATCTAAAGAAGCTGCGTACTATTTCTAACTTGCTATCTATTTCACTGTTAATGGTGTACTCATCTCTCCAATCTGTCATCCGTCAAGGCAGTTCATAAGGAAGGCCTGCCATCTATCTTTCCCATCGTAAGGGTAGTGAAAAGTTTTTGCACAGGTCAAACAATTCCACCTTCTGTCCTCCTGTACAAGTTCTTCATTTCTAAGGCTGATGGGTGGAACAGTGGCCTTGTACGTGGAACTGAGCCAATCCAAGTAGTTGTGAGTTAAATTTTTGTTAGTCTGATGGAATTGATTTTTTTCGCTTCCCTGCTGCAAAGCTAGTCGGTTGAGTTCAGGAAGTACTGATATCAATGTAAATTAGCTCTTAGTTACCAATATAATGAATCAATTCAATTATTACTGCATGAAAATTTTAACAAGTTTTTTTTATTAATTTTGATTTCGAAAAGTTTGTATTTAAAAAAAAAATGAATAGATCATAACTGACATTAGTGGTACTTTAGTTTCGTTGTTTCTAGTGTAAGTTTTTTGGTTTTATTTTTTAAAAATATTTTATTATTAGTGAGCCAGAAATCAATTGAAACTCTTCTTCAATTGTTCAAGTATTGAGTTCCTTAATCCCATTTGTTTTCAAATTTAATTTTTTTCTGACGCTGCATTATCGGAGTTATGCAATCTAAAATCTTTCCCAAGCATGAGAACATTGTCTCCACATGGTAGATCCATTGAGGTAACTTTGGAGTTAAACACTTCATGACGGTGAGGGATCGATTTAGAAGGATTATGCAGGATTTGCCAGGGTTTGTTTCCCATTCACTCCATTTACAGCCAACTAGTTTATCTCTCTCCCTTTAAAGATGATCTGTGCTGGCTTGAGACTGGTCGAATCAGACTTTCGTACAGTAGGGTTATTGTTAATTCGCACATGAATCAACTTAATACCTCACCTTGGTTGTGACTCGGGCCTCCTCTGTACCTTGTCTCTTTATCTGTGTAGCCATTTGTATGAGCTCTTTTAGACTCAAATTGTGTCCTTAACCTTGATTATTGTGTTTATCATTAGCCTTCCTTCATAAGAAGTAGATGATAATCTGTTATGTTACAGGCACTTACATTCATCATATATGCCTGACTATACGACTTCAAAGTATGTTGACCAGAGCTACTTGACGATTTTTAGGTGATTGCCATCGTGAAGTTGGCTGAAGAGATGGGTTTGACTTGCATTCGTGCTTATAAACTTGATGCTCGCAAATCAGTCCAGAAGAAAGATAGTACCGAGGTTCCTTCAACAAATTCCAGGACAGAAATCTCATGCAATAATGTTGACGACTCAAAATTGATGGGTAATGAACGGTACAACACTGGTCTAACCATTACTGAATGTGGTAAGAAAGGCATGCCTCATTCTTAATTGGGGTGACATTCATGTATGTGTACTGTTCTAGCGACGAAAAATAGAGAACTAGGTGACAGATCTATAATGCACGGTATCTCTCCAACTGTTGCTTCTTCTGTAACATAAACAACACAAAGGTGTGCATTTGCTTCGGTGGACCCGAAACATCTGCCTTGCAGGCAGGATGCTGGAAAGTTTGTATGTAAGAAATTTGAAGTCTTTTCATTTAAATACACAGAAGGAGTCGTGTCTTTAGAGATAAAATGAAAATTTATATGAAATGCTTTAGCCAATTTACCAAGAATTGGCACGAGATATGAGCTCCTTTATGAGGGTAGACATTGGTGACGGGTCATTGCCATTCAACAATTTCTTGGAAACCGATTGACTAGGCTTGTCCTCATTATACATGATGTGTGGTTCATTACACTAACCATTGTAGCTTTGCAGATTTGAATTTGATTATTCATCCAATTTCTGGCTTCTGGAAGTAGGCCTTGTCTAATATCGTTGTCATTTCATAGAGATATGGCTAAAAACATTCTCTCAAATGGTACTTTCGTGATGGTATTCATCTCATTATGAACAGAGTTGATCGAGCGTACTTTTGCAGCATGTAAAAGTGTTACAAGATACGATGGACAGAGAAACAAAGGACGAAACAGTAAATGGAAAAATTATTTCTAACAGTCCCCCTCAAGCTGGGAATGGGCAACATACATTCACCAGCTTGAGGGGGAGTGTTAGAAATAATTTTTCCATTTACTGTTTCGTCCTTTGTTTCTGTCCATTGTATCTTGTAACAGAACAATAGACTGAACCGGTTCAAATTGAACTGGTCCGGTTTACCCTCTCCCATTTCATAACAGCTGGTCAATATAAATACCAACCAGCATGTAAACATTAGAGTGTGATGAAATTTAGGGCTTCGGCCTTCTTCTTTTCGTGTCTCTCTCTCTCATGTTCACTGCTAGCACAGACAAGAAGGAAGGGAGGTGTTTGGAGATGATCAAAGTCCAGCACGATTTCTAACATGGTATCAGAGCTCAGGTGTGATCATTCCAGACTCCTTTGATCTTCTGAGTTCTTCTTGAACACCTCTTTTTTCATTTTCGACAGAGAACACATTTCTTTGTGACTTGTTAAAACAAGTCACTAATTGTTCGTTGATTCTGCACTATCTAGGTGAGAATCTAGCGCTATTGATCTACAGAACACGAACTGTAGGTTCGTGTCTTGATCTGTAGATTAACTCATTTCTAAAACAAACATACCTAATTCTTGAATTCTCAAGAATGTCTGAAGCGACTTCTATGACAGAACAAGAACAATCCCGATCTGTGAGGGTGGAACCTAGTCTGATCTATGGAGATCTGCCAATTATACCACAAATAGATCATCTCGATGATAGGAATTACTTTGGATGGTCTCAACAAGTTCGAGTTATTCTTAAAGGACAGGGAATGACAAATCACTTAGCTCATCCAAACGTGAAGGCTGGAGATCTGGGATTTGAAGCATGGGATCAAAAAGACACAAGAATCATGGCTTGGATATGGACAACCATGATTCCTGAGATCCATAGAACATGTTTGTATCTTCCCATAGCTAGAGCAATGTGGGAAAATTTATATCAGACTTATTCAAGAGCAAGAGATGCTGCACAACTTTATGAATTAAAGTTAAAGATGATGACTATGAGGCAAATGAAAAAATCAGTGACAGAATACACTCATGAAGTAAGAACATTATGGCAAGAATTTGATCAATATAAAATTGCTGATATGACAGATCCATTTGATGCAGCTTTGTATAGAGAGGAAATAGAAAGGGATAGAACCTTCGAATATCTTGTGGAACTGAACTCTGAATATGATCAAGTCAGAATTCAGATCCTAGGAAGAGAGAAATTACCTCCTCTCAATGAAGTAATCTCCCTAGTAAGAGGAGAAGAAAGTTGTCGGAACCTAATGCTTGGTTCTCAGAATGTGGAAAATTCAATATTTATGACTAAAAATGGAAAACATTATGGCAATAATAGTGCCAAAACAAAGGGTGAACCTTCAGGACAAGAGAGGACTTCTAACAATGATTTAAGAAACAAGTTATGGTGTACATATTACAAGAAAGCAAGGCACACAATTGACAGGTGTTATAAATTACATGGAAGGCCTCAAAGTCATAAATGGGTACAAAAGAGAGGACAACAAAAGAGTGAAAATCAAGCATATATATCTGTTGTCCAACAAGGGGAAGTAAATACCTCAGCTGCCATAGAAGAAGTTCCACAAGCTCAAGTATTACAAGCTTCGTGTTCATCTAACTATTCAAGTAAGTCTCCAACTTTTATTGCGTTGAGTGCCTCAACAAATAGTAAATCTTCACCCTGGATTGCTGATTCAGGGGCCACATAACATATGACCTATGCCTCTCATCTATTTAACTCATATGCTCCTTGTCTAAGCAATAGAAAAACTACCACAGCTGTTGGCTCCTCAATTACAGTTGCTGGGATAGGAAACATTTGTCTTAACCTTATATTACCTTGAAAGATGTACTTCATGTTCTTATGTTGACCACCAACCTAATTTTTGTTAGCAAACTCACACGTGACCTAGGTAATGTTGTGTTTGATCCTAATACTTGTCTGTTTTTTGACAAGATGTCTGGGAGGACGATTGGACGTGCTAGAGAATGGAGTGGAATCTATTATTTGGAGCTTCCAAGCCAATCAAACATTGCAATAGATCAAAACAACATTCCTAAGAACCCTGACCTGTCAAACAGTGAAAAAAATTGGCTTTAACATCAAAGATTAGGACATCCCTCTTTTTTGATTCTGAAGAGTTTGTTTCTTTCTTTGTTTCACAACTTGAACACCTCTGAATTCAAGTGTGAAGTATGTGAATTTGCCAAACATTGAAAAATATCATTTCCTGAAAATAATACGAAGTGTTTAATACCTTTTTTCCATGTTCATAGTGATGTATGGGGGCCTGCATCAACACCTAGCACAAGTGGAGCTAGGTGGTTTATCACCTTTATTGATGATTGTACAAGGATGACGTGGATTTATTTGCTTAAAAATAAATCTGACGTAAGTATGGCACTCATACAATTTTGTTCTTTAATAAGAACTCAGTTTGAGACAACAATTCAGAGGTTTAGATCTGATAATGCTAAAGATTACTTCAATCATACTTTAACTTCTTACTTTCAAAAAGAAGGTATTGTACACGAATCATCATATGTCTATACACCCCAACAAAATGGGGTGGCTGAACGGAAAAATGGTCATCTGTTAGGGATGACTAAAGCTCTCATTATTCAAAATAACATACCAAAATATTTTTGGGGTGAGGGAGTTCCTATGGCTGCCCATCTTATAAATCGTCTACCAACTAAATCTTTGAATTTTAAAAGTTCTATTGACATGTTATCTTTCTTTTACCCTCATATTCTATTGAAAACGAATCTCATATCCAGAATATTTGGTTGTACAGCATTTGTTCATATTCATGAACAACATAGAGACAAATTAGATCCTAGAGCTCTAAAATGTATTTTTGTAGGATATTCCCAAACACAGAAAGGATATTGTTGCTATTATCCTCCGACAAAGAAATTTTTCATTTCAAGGGATGTTACCTTCAATGAGAAGGAAGCATATTATGACATATCAAATCATCATGATAAAATTAAAATGTTAGAGGATCCAGAAATAATTTTTTTACTTCCTGCTGCCAATTCATTACTAGACCTCACTATGGCTCCCATCGAACCACCTATTCTTGAATCTACTCCTAATGTATACCTCAAAAGAGGAAGATTTAGCCATGTATATTTCAGAAAAAAAGAGAATACTCCAGAATCTGTGCATGTTCAAGAATCCTCCCAGGATGAGTCATATGAGACATCCCAGACCAGCACCTTACTTACTGATGAAGACCTACCTATTGCCCTTTGAAAAGGGGTAAGAGAATGTACCAAAAAATCATTATATCTTATGACACTTTTTTTGTCATATAATAGATTATCACCTTCACACAAGGCCTTTGTATTTAACCTAAATTCTACCTCAATCCCAAAGACTGTTTTTGAGGCTTTAACTCATTAGAAGTGAAGACAAGCTATGAATGAGGAGATGGAAGCTTTAAGAAAAAATGATACTTAGGAACTTGTACGTCTGTCAATAGGGAAGAAAGTTGTTGGCTGCAAATGAGTGTATACAATTAAATATTGTTCAGATGGATTCATAGAAAGATACAAAGCCAAACTAGTTGCAAAAGGATACACACAAACTTATGGAGTTGATTATCTTGAAACTTTTGCACCAGTAGTAAAAATGAATACAATTAGAGTACTTTTGTCATTGGCAATTAACTCTGATTGGGATCTTCAGCAATTTGATGTTAAGAATGCATTTTTACATGGTGAATTAGAAGAGGAAATAATATGGAGGTACCACATGGATATGAGAGAAATTTAGATGCTAATATTGTGTGTAGGCTGAAGAAAGCATTGTATGGACTAAAACAATCTCTTCGAACTTGGTTTGGTAAATTTATGAAAGTTATGCTCAAAATGGGATACAAACAAAGTCAAAGTAATCACATTTTATTTTTCAGCCATTCCTCTTCAGGGGGAGTTACCACTCTAATAGTATATGTGGACGATATTATTGTGACTAGAAATGATGATGCAGAAAAAAGACTTCTAAGTCAATGTTTATCTCAAGAATTCGAGATGAAAACTGTAAGAAGATTAAAATACTTCCTAGGTATTAAAGTTGCATATTTTAAGAATTCTATTTTTCTATCTCAACAAAAATATGTGATAGATTTGCTTCAAGAAACTGGAAAAACAACCTGCAAACCAGTTAATTCTCCAATTGATCCTAATCTCAAGTTAACTGCAGTGGAGGAAGACATTGTTGTGGATAAAGGGACGTATTAACGACTGATAGGTAAACTGATTTGACTATCACATATACGGCCAGACATAGCATATGCAGTCAGCGTCATTAGTAAGTTCATGCACAATTCGAAACAAATACATTTACAGGCAACATATCATGTTCTACACTTTCTAAAAGGAATAACAGGAAAAGACATTCTGTTCAAAAAACATGATTATCTAGCACTTGAAGTGTACACAGATGTAGTTATGCTGGATCGTAGATCAACGATCAACATCAGGATACTGTACATTTCTTGGAGGTAATCTTATTACTTGGAGAAGTAAAAAACAGAATGTCATATCTAGATCAAGTGCAGAAGCTGAATTTCGTGCTATGGCACAAGGTATTTGTGAGATTTTATAGGTCAATATCATATTGAAGGATTTGAAGATCAATATAGATGGTCCAATGAAGCTTTATTGTGATAATAAATCAATGATTAATATTGCTCACAACCCTGTTCAGCATGACAGAACTAATCACAGAGATTGATTGCCACTTCATAAAAGAGAAGATAGATAGTGGACAGATATGTACTATATATGTGCCTACAATTGATCAAATCGCAGATATATTCACGAAAGGACTATGTGGCAACATATTCTATCATCTTGTGTCCAAGTTGGGAATGGACAATATACATTCACCAGCTTGAGGGGGAGTGATAGAAATAATTTTTTCATTTATTGTTTCGTCCTTTGTTTCTCTGTCCGTCGTATCTTGGAACAGAACAATAGACTGAACCAGTTCAAATTAAATCGGTCCGGTTTACCCTCCCGTTTCATAACAGCTGGTCGGTGTAAATACCAACCAACATGTAAACATTCGAGTGTGATGAAATTTAGGGCTTCGGCCTTCTTCTTTTCGTGTCTCTCTCTCTCGTGTTCATTGCTAGCACAGACAAGAAGGAATGGAGGTGTTTGGAGATGATCAAAGTCCAGCACGATTTCTAACAAAAAGTACATTTTTCATGAATACCAGCTATTACTTGCATTCACTTATTATCTACACCATTTTAGATTGTGCTGTATATATTTATTTCGATAACTTCCAAAATTCTGGAATGTTTTATCGACAACATTTTGAATTGTTTCAGAAGGTGATCGAGAGCCAAGCCAAGGTCCTTACTCTGGGGAAATTGGCATTAGGAAGAGTTCCAAATTGAGAAATGGACGTGGAAGAAGTAATAGTGGTGGAGGCCGGGTCAAATGCTCATCAGGCTTTCTGCCCAGTTCCTTTGACCGCGTTCTTCTCGATGCTCCATGCTCTGCTCTTGGTCTAAGGCCCCGCCTTTTTGCTGGAGAGGTAGGCTCTGGTTTAATGGGAAAGCCTTCAGCCATTTACATTTGATACTTCACCATGTACCTTATTTTTATTGATATCGTACCTCTAAAGCTTTTAAAGAGAGTGCCTTCTGTGACTCATGCTGGTCCTGCTGTTATAAGCCCTGCCAATTTTTTAATTTTTCTGAAGTGTAAATGGGTGATATTAGTTATGTATTACAATTTAGATTTTCCTGGAATATATTTCCAGCAATGGCGGGTTGAAAATTATTTTTTTAATTAATATATCCTTTTTAAGCTCTGCAATCTAAGATATCTTGAATACATGGCCTTCATGATTCCTTGGGCTATCTTCCTCTGCTATCTGCGGTTATTTAAGTTTACATGATTTTGTTTATTGTCAGGAAACTATGGAAACTCTGAGGAACCATGCAAAATATCAAAGAACGATGTTTGACCAGGCCGTGCAATTAGTTCGGTCAGGTGGAGTTGTAGTTTATTCGACGTGAGTAAATACCTACAGTCTTCTGGTATCCTTCCATTTATGGCATCTCTCCTTATCCTTCATGTCAGAACGGTGAGCTTTATCATAATCGGGATATAAAAGTGCGATGATTTGGTCGGCTTCTTGGGGATGGATAATACCACCTAAAGACTCCCTTGAAATTTCGTTTGCATGTGTCCTCAAAACAGATCTCCTTCTCCATCTGAGACCCTTTCAAGCACAATCTATTCATCTCTCTCTCTCTCTCTCTCCCTCGGTATGTCTCATCAGCTGGAGATTATGTTATTTTTAGGCTTTGTAAATTGAGAGCCTGTCTTCGATTTCAGTTGTTGGCTGTATCTAACATAAACTGAGTATTTCATGCGAATGAGAAAACATTACTTTTCTTAGAAAACATTATATTTCTGTTGTCTAAAAAGGTACCACTGTGAGGGGCACTTTGGATGATTGAACACATAGAGAGTAGCTCTTTTTTCTTCTCAATGTCTTTTTAATTACTATGTTTATTCTAATTTATTGCTATACTCAATAACTTGGACAATGCTCAATATTCGAACAATCAACATCTGAGTAGGCAATGAACATCATGTTTTTTATTTACATAGTTGAAGCATAAGTTCGAAGAAGATATCTGTTTATAATATCCTCTCTCTCTCTCTCTCTCTCTCTCTCTCTCTCCCCCTCCCCACACACGCCATTTGTCTAGAGAATTAGAGCCCGAATATTTGAAAAAATCTTAGAAGGGAAGGATCTCTTTTATTCTTGTATTGTTGCACAATTTGTATTCACATAAATCATATCTCAATTTTTCAACCATGATCTATAATGTGGCATATTGACCACTGCCCTCATTGAATACATGGCCTTGTTTTTTTCTTTTATTACTTATGTTTGAATCGGCCATCATGCACTCGCCTAAATCAACACACGGCGATTGTAATGCTGTCAGAATAGTCCCATATTGATTAATATACAAATTTCTTTCAGATGTACGATAAATCCTGGTGAGAATGAAGCTCTGGTTCGGTATGCCCTGGATACATACAAGTTCCTTTCTTTGGCACCACAGGTGAGATCACATTATTGGAAAGATCATCTATTTCCAGAAATTTAGCTTCCACATCTCATTTAAACATACCCCTTCCCCCCTTTTCCCTCGCCCAATAATAAAACAAAAGAGGAAAAGAAAAACCCTTTTAATGATCTTGGGCGATGGGAGTGTATCTTCTTTAAATATGTTTCGCATTAAGTTTTAAATAAAATAAAATGAGGATGTATTTTCTTTGACTATCTTTTGCAATATTTTTTAAAGCACGGAAATACTTTAGCATATATACTAGCTGGGCTGATGAGAACATGTAGATATGTTCTTACAGTATATTTAAGGGAATTAAATATGGTAAAAGATCTTGGCTAACTGGGAGAGGCCTCTCCATCTTCAGTGTTTTCTGACGGTCCGATCCTTCTTTGACCTCCAGCATCCAAGAATCGGGGGGCCAGGTCTCGTCGGCGGGTGCGAACTTTTCAACGGGAAGTTCACAGAGTGAGTCCTCTCTTCTTCATGAATTATTTGAAACCATGATTTCAGCTTCTGATGATGATGATGCTGTTGGGTTCGTTTTCATTCTTTTTTGTAGGGACTGGCTGACAGAGGCTGAATCAGAGCTCGTTCAGAGATTCGATCCATCATCATCTCTCGATACCATCGGTTTCTTCATTGCGAAATTCAGTGTGGGTCGAAAAGATACCTGATTGGATCTGACAGCCCTGCTACAAAAGGGCACTATTACCTCTTTGTGATCATCATCGTTCTTGCGGCCGTGACTTCTCCATTGGAGCTGGCTGCTCTTCAAGGGTTCTTGCTGACTGACGGAATCTGGGGGCCCCCCCCCCCCCCCGATGTTATCTTCTTACGACTTCTTTTTTCGTGTCCTTGGAAAGATGTAATCTAACCGATCACATTCATATTGTTCTTCCCCTTTTTCGACCGTCTTTTTGAAGAATTTCTGTGTCCTTGGAAGAATTCTTTTTTTCGCAGACACGGGCGCCAGAGTGTGGAGATCGACGTCTTGGAGCATTTTTTTAAAAAAAATCTTTTAAACTGAGAATTGAGACGATCCACATGAAGGGAGGGAAGGAGGGAGGGAGGGGCTTCGAGATCTGGCAGGGGAGGCCTTGGGGTTGACTGCAGGTGTCAGAGGCCTTCTGCGTCGACATCGAGCCCCTCCATGGAGCAAACCTCCTCCCGGAGGTAGAACGGCCACCGATCCCCCGCCGCCGGCCCCTCGCAAGCGAAGTACAGGACGGCGCCTGGGATGAAGCCGGCGGAGGAGAAGTCCGCCGCCAGGTCCTCGACCTTCTCCTTGGGCGGCGCCGTGTAGATGTAGAACGGCGCCGCCCAAGGTGACACCGCCCGCCGGAGCAGATCCACCAGCCCCTGCACCGCCTCCGACCTGCCGAACTTCGCTTCCAGCACGTAGTGATCGGGGAAGACCACTCTGATCACCGCCGACCCCGTCCCTGCCGTGCGGCTCGCCACCACCGCCCTCGCAGACGCCACCATCGAGCTCCTGTACACGCGAACCTTCCTCCCCAGCGCCGCCGCCAGCCCCGCCGTCGCCGCCGCCGCAGCCGCTGCTGTCCCCTCCGATAGCTTCCTCCTCTTCGCCGGAAGCCCCACGGCCATGGCGGCGACGCCGCACCACCACCACCACCAACACCTCCAGCAAGTAGCAAGAAAGTACAGACCAGCGACACAGATCGGGAGGTTGATGACGAAGGGAGCAGCAAAATTCCCTACCCTTCCCCACTCCTGTTTTATAGGGAGCGCGAACATGTCCCGTGGATGGATATCGGGTCGGACTCGGCCCGGTAATTTCTATTGGGCCGCCAACTATTTCCAGACCTACCTAGGTATTGGAGCGCGAACCTTCCCCCAGGTATCCGGTATGGAATTTTGATTGGATATCTATCGGATAACCCGATAATCCCTGTTTCGACAAAAAATCTTGGGGCCCACTGCCTCCTCCCAGCCATAGGTTGCGGCCCGTCCATCTCTGGGCCCCACCGTGGTGGCTCGGGCGAAAACTCCAATTTTTTTGTTACTTTCCATATATATATATATTCAAAAAAATTGCATATTTACCACAACTTGTGAATCAACTGACGTCCAAATCAAATTTCCTAAATACTTTTTTGACGGGGGAAGGGGGATAATTAGTATTGAAAGACTTTAATGGGTAATTTTATCTGTGGTGACGATGATGATGATAAATATCGTAAATATTGTGGATAATATCGTAAATAGTTTCTAAAGGCGGGCCCCACACTGGGGAGAATGGGGCCCACTTTGTTGCAATGGGTCCACGCTCCATCCGTTTTTAGATCGCATCGTGATCGTCTGGAGATTGGCTCCGTCGCTGCCAGGATCACGTTCGGCGGACCGCATTTCGCCATTGCCCCCTCGAAAAGTTGGGCATTGTGGAAAGCCCTCGGTCACACGCTCCCGCTCCCTCTCACCCGCCCCCAAAAAAATATCCTCTCCATTAAAATTTTTCACTATGTTAATACATTTTTTGAATTTATGCCCATATTAATTAATTATTTATTTACCTAACTTATGCTGCTTCCCCTTCCTAGATTATATTTTGTACCATTTAGTATTACATTAAATTGGGTAAAATATCTATTTTTTAATTTAATATTTATATTACCGTATTCTTTCCATGTAGGAAAGGTATTTTCTATTAATAAATGTATAATTTTTCCCACGTTTTTCGAGGCGTCGGTGGTATTAGTGGTGGCCTCAAGATCCATTCATTTAATGTGTTTTTGGATGTCCCCCTAATAATTTGTGTATTTTATTTTATAGCCAAGAAATGGGCATATTTGCTCTCTTGTTCAAACCTACTCCAATATTTGTTAGGCTGGCATTAGTCTGAAAAATCTGTTCCACAATCTTCCAAGAAATAAATAATACTATTTATTAGAACACTAAAGGGGTATAGACACAATATGGTGAGTTTGGTGCTTCATTGGCAAAAATAGAAGGTTAAGAAAATCACCACTCCCCGCTTCCCTTCCACCGAAAGAAAAATCCAGCAGCACCAACCCTAACGCCAGCAGAGCGGGGCTGGCGAAGTCCTCGTCGGAGGAAGAGGAAGGAGATCGGGATCGACGGCGCGGGGAAGAAGATGAGCGAGGAAGGGAAGAAGCAGCCCCAGCAGCATATCTTGCACCAGCACAGCCTGGAGCCATCGGCGCCACCTCCGCAGCAACATTACGGGACGTTCCCTGTGGTCCCGAGCTACCCTACTCCGTCGCAGCCCGTGATCGGGTTCTCGCAGCCGGCGCCCCCGCCATGGGCGATCTCCCCTTCTTCCGGGCACCCCTACTACGCCCAGGGCTACCAGGCCGTCCCGGGTGAGCGATTTTTCCTTGTGGATTCGTCTAAGTTGTGTGTCAGGGTTCTTTTCTGTGGTATTCTCTTCCTCTCCGAGCATAATTTTGCCCTTTTCTGGAGAGTAATCATCCTCGATCCGCGGCCCGAATGAGACGAGTTGCGTGATTGGATTTCTTTCTCGCGGAGGTGCCTTCTTCAGGCACGTTTAAGAAAGTTCCTCCCTCTGACGCCGTTGATTGACCTTACTTTGATACGTTTAGGGCCGCCAATTCTCGTGATCTTATAACACTGAATCTGTAACTCTTTCCTTCTAAAACTATATGCCTTTATGAGCAATCTGTGTGCCTTGTTGCGTCGTCAATGAGCAGTGAAGGGTGTGGTTCGATTAATTTTTCTTCCGTGTGCGGATCCACAGGTATATATACATGGTGGTGCAGACACACCGTCCGTCGATTACCTATTCCGTCTAAACCCAGATCAAAAACGGCTCTGATTTTGTAACTGTTGATCTTTTCGATCTAGATGAACCCAGGTGGGTCCTTTCCATATTGATCTTTGCTGTGTGCTGTACGATGATTTGGGTGGGAAATTAGCACCAAAAAAAAAAAAATCATCCTCAGAACCGATCCCATTTCTCCTCAATGTTCTGACGACTCTGGCGTGGGTGTGGTCTTCTGTAATGGGCACTCGTCTGTCAGTCCATCTTGGTTCCTCCTCTGCTCACTCGTATCTTCTGATGTAGTTCAAGGCTATGCTGTTGTTGAAGGGCGACCTGTACGACAGCCACGTCTGCCCTGCTGTGGCTGTGGCATGGGCTGGTTCCTGTGAGTATCTCACGGCCACAAACCTCAGAACCTTTTTTTTTTTGGGTACTATCTGGAATTTTGCTGTACCAACCTCTCGACTATTCCTCGGTTGATTCTTCAAGGGTAAGACACCAGTTGGACATTCTCGGCCGATTATAGAGGCTCGTATAGGATAGAAAACTATAGATGGCTAGCTATTCATGCTTGTTTCTCCAGTGGAAGATGATGATGATGAGAACTTGGTCTTCCCTTGGTTGTAAGGTTCATCATTGGGTTCTTCCTCGCTGCCATCCCATGGTATGTCGGAGCATTCGTCCTCCTGTGCACCATAGTTGATCACAGAGAGAAGCCTGGATATGTGGCCTGCACCATCGCTGTGAGTTCCGCTCTCTCTCGCCACCCATCCCCCAGAGTTTGAAGTGCCCCTCCGCCATCAAAATTCCATTTGTCTTAATGGGTCCGGCCGATGGGGAGAGAATTGATGTGGGTCCTCTCTCTTCTCTCTTCTTGCTCTGTGTTGAGCAGGCTGCTGTTGCTGCAGTCGCCGTCATTCTCGGGGCGGCAAACGGTGCAGATGCATGGTGATGACCCTCAGCGGCTTGGACTGAGCTGCGCAGACTGTATATTTTATTCAAACTGCCGATATCTCTGCATGTATCTATCTCCTTGCTATAAATGCGGACGCCGGTGTGGGTATCTGTTCATATAAAAGAAGGAAAAGAAAATTGCCATGCATCTGAATATACTCTTGTAGTCACTTGTTAGGGAGGATTTTGGAGGGCCGCAGCCGATCTTATTCGAGAGGGAGATTAGAGTCAAGATGTTGGGCGTTGAAGGAAGGAGGTTTCCACGGTCGGATTGAATATGGTGGACTTGTAATCAGAAGACGTCGGTCTGCGTGTGCAGACGGGAGGGCAAGGCGGGCGTCTTCTTCTCAAATCTCTCTCTCTCTCTCGTCCTCTCTGGCCTTCTCCCTCTCTCGCCCTCTCTATATCACGCTTTCTTTCTCTCTCTCACGCACACAGACACACCCTTCCTTTCCTCTCTCTCTCTCTCTCTCTCTCAACGGGGAGAACCACATGGCCTTCAGTGCCTTAGTCAATCTGTTGCTCCAAGTATGGTTGAGTATTGTGTAATCATCAACTAAAGTATTTACCATGAATGGGCAACTTGCTTATCGGAATGTCGTTGACTCGATGGTGGGCATAGAGAGATAATAACCAAGTAATGCAACCCGCATCCCTAAAATTTATTAGAAACCGAGTAAGCAGATGTCTCCTTGGGGCAGGAAAGCTTGATGCCTGTACGTGAGCCAACATGCTCTCCAGTACTCAGCTGGAACAGGGCACATTTATCAACCTAGAGACTTAAAAACATATGCCTGCATGATTATTTATTTCTTAATAGTTATTAAGAGCGAGAGAGAGAGAGAGTTTTGTGCGACACGCGTATGGCTACCAGCGTGTAGCCACGTGGCGAGCATACCTAAGACAGACCACAACAGGTACCGCGTTCTTCTTGGCGACTAGAAGCCAACCCCGCGCCTCTGAGCACCCACGGCTGAAGACAACCTCTGCGGCGGCGGTCAACGGCGCTGCTTCCCCGTCGCTGCCGCCCAGGATTGCAGGATGTGATCCACGATCTCAGCCACGCCCACCCCGTGCTTGACCTGGAATAACACCGGTGGAGAGCATGCGGATGAATGAATGAATGAATGAATCCAGATCGACCACCTCGAGATGTAGAAAACTTTTATAAATAAGCAATCCTGTACATGCAGAATAATCAATCCGGCGGATCGCACAGGGAAAAAAAATATAAATATTATATGAATAAATCCTGGGCGGATACAGAATCATGAATCCAGATGGGTTGCGTAGAGATGTTAATAGCTCTGTGTGTGTATAATATATATATATATATATATATATATATATATAGATAATAATTAATAATCGCAGGATTATGAGCTGAATGAAGTATGTTTGAATTTAAATTCAGCAAGAACAGAAAGTAAGAAAATTTTCGGGCAAGGCCCAGGATTTTCTGAGGGTAGTTTCTCCTCAATGATTGATTCCCGCCACGTACCTGGGCGAAGACGAAGGGTCCTCCATCCCGCATCCGAAGAGCATCCCGCTCCATGACCGCCAAATCCGCCCCCACTGCTGCTGCAAGGTCCGTCTTGTTTATCACCTGACGATATGTCACCAGATGTGCTGTGAATTAATCTTCTCTAAATACGGGTTTCTTTTTTTTCTTTTTTAGAATTCCGATTTATCCGTGTTTTTGGGGAAAATTATAAAGCACGAGATCGAATATTGAATTTAAAGGAGGGGGAAAAAAAATCAAAAAAATGAAAAACTGGAGATTACCAAAAGATGGCAAGAACTTTGAAGATTTCTCATACCAAAAGGTCCGCCTGGGTGATGCCAGGGCCGCCCTTACGGGGGATTTTGTCTCCTCCAGAGACGTCGATGATGTAGATGATGTAGTCTGCCAGCTCTCTGCTGAAGTTTGCGGCCAGGTTATCTGAATCACAGAGGAGCAATGAAAGGTAAGCACCATGGAGTGACTGAAGAACTGCAAAAAAGTAAATCTCCACCGTGGAAGCATCTCATCTTCAAGAAGAAATAAAAAAAATAACATATGCCGCATGGAAAAAAAGAAATCTGGTGAAGATTTATCAAAACTAATATGGGGCGCAATTGATGGCGTTCATCTGGTGAGGCAAAAATCTAAGGAAGTGAACATAACGGAGCACAAAAATCAGATGCTTTTTTTCCAAGTGAGGAGGAAAAATGGGGCAGAGATGTAAATTCGTCACAATAACTTGAAGAAATCTTGATTGAAAAAATAATATCTTCAAAAGGGAGATGAAATCTTATACGTCGGCATTCATACCAAGAACGAAGACGAATTTTACAAGTTCTTGCAGACCCACTAATAATAGGATTTTACAAGTAGATTGTACGGAGGAAATTTGTTAGAATGCGATTTTCTGGATGAGGCGGGTCGTGAGAATAGAACAGCACCTCCCCCTGATTCACAAAGAAGAATGTCCGTCTTGTAAAGATTAGACAACTCCTCCAATGGGCCCAAATTGATACTTATATCTTCACGTATCGCAGCATGGGGACAGCCACCAGTTTCAACTGCACGGATTCTCTCCTCAGGGAGCGCCCCATTCTTCACCAAAAATTCAGCATCCTCCTTTGTGAAAATATCATTTGTGACCTGAATCATGACACATGATCAATAATTTGACCAAGATAATCGATGCAACTATTGTCAGAAATAGTATGGAATCATATAATGGGTCATAGCAAAAGTCAATGACAAGGATTCTGAGTGCTGAGATTCTCCATCGCCAAGCATCATTCCAGTTCAACTGGCGTGAGAGCATTTTATTGGCATGAGGAAAAGTAGCTGGAAGAATCTCAAGACTAGATAGCCGCACTGGTTCAGCGCAGAACTCTTTCCTTCGTCATAATGACAAGGATTGAATTCATTACCATGTCAATTTAATACGAACATCTTTTCTTTTAAGGATGAGTGAAATGATGAGAAAGGTATCTCAACCTTCAGAGAAACAGTTTTCGTGGCAGACAATAAGCTGCACATAGATACCAATAAATAAATAAATAAAAAGAAGAAAAAACTTAGACACAGCAGCAGGGAAGACTGAAACAATTGGGCTATAATTTATTTGAAGAACAAGTGACCAGCCCATACTTTGGAAAGAGGACATCTAGAAATGGAAATGAGCATCAAGGGAGAATCAAAGACACGATCGTAACAGGAAAAGTTGACATTGCTCTCCCCCATCAACGTAACTTAAGGTTGAATTTCTGTCGGGGTATGAAAACAGAGACATCACCAGGGTTATGAACAGGCAGAAAGCTCGGAGAGGATCTGGGCACCTAACCAGATCCGTGAACTGCTCACATCGGAGTGGAGAAAACTTGAACCCCTGAACTCTTTCCTCTCGTGGAAAGACAGAATCCCATGTATACGCTTCTACAGATACTTCAGAGGAGAACACTCACCGCGGCGAGGCTGTACTTCTCTCGCAGGAACTTGCAGAGCGCCAACATCAGGGCAGTCTTCCTGAAAAGACATCAATGCGTCACATCAGTATCAGATCAATGGCGCTCGTCCTCCTTTCCATAAGACCAGAACACTCCAGCAGCGACAGTAGGCATCCCAGTCCAAATCACGAGAGGCGATATTTCCGACGGGATCCGATTGAGGAAAGGGATGAAACCGATCCCCCCGTAACGTGAAGAGGGAAGGGGGGGGGATCATAATGGAATTGAACGACTAGAGTCCACGAGGACGAAGAAGGGATCATTGAAAGGCCAACCCGGTGCCGACGGGCCCGCCGATGCCGACGGTGAAGGCGCGCTCGCGGAAGTCCCGAGTGAGCAGCGGGGGCGCCCGCTTGCTGAAGAATCCAGGTGAGTAAATCGGCTCGTGGGAATGCGGCGCCAGCCCATCGTGGCTGTGGTACACCCTCCCGTCAGTCCCCACCCACGACGTCCCACTCGATCCGTCCCGGTGAGGATGATCACCGCCATGATCGTGGTGATGGTCGTGCTCCTCTCCGCCGTGGTGGTGGTGATGGTGGTGCCGCTCCCCTTCGCCGTGGTGGTGGTGGTGGTGCTGCTGCTCCCCTTCGCCGTGGTGGTGGTGGTGGTGGCGATGGTTGTGCTGCTCCTCTTCGCCGTGGTGGTGGTGGTGGTGGCGATGGTTGTGCTGCTCCTCTCCGTCGTGATGGTGGTGGTGCTCCGCTTCGCCGGTAGCACCACCGGTTGGAGCAGGAGATGCCATATGCTGCTGTAGGTCGGGAGGAAGAAGGAAGCAGGTGGAGGGGACGGTAGTTAATTGACTTATATCTCCTATTGATATATATAGGGCCAATTGAGTCCCAAATATTATAAATATATCATGACTTTTAACAATGCAACAATAATAAAGAACCTTTAAAATATTGGGAGATATTACAGACGGGTCAGATCTGACACAGATTGGGCCTGGGCCTCAGGACCACTTAGCCCATTAGACCTACTTTCAGAGCCCAATGGGGGATGATTTATCAGCATCATCAACCGCTTCCGACCCGAGCCTGCTTTAAAGCACCCGGCGCCGCGACGCGATCAACAAGTTGAGAGAGAGAGAGAGAGAGATGGAGGGGGAGGAGGGGAAGGGGAGGAAGGAGAAGAGGGCCCCGGCGATGGCAGAGTCCTTGGGATGGCTGACCGAATCGGCGGTGATGCCGAAGAAGCACCGGGCGATCGAGGGCGTCGGCGCGTCCTCCATCTTGGAGCTCAAGGCTCAGCTCTACCGAACGCAGGAAGAGGCGCGCAAGACCAAGCAGGAGGCGTCGTCCGGCGGCGACGCCGCAGAGCACATCCGCGCGAGGAGACTCGCCGACGCTCCCGATGTGTTCTCCCGGAAGAACTCTGGAGTTGAGTCCCGCGCGAACAGGTACGTGCACTTCCGTTCCCCTCCCCTTCTTAATTTGAGAATTTTCTCCCCCTTTGATGGAGAATTGAGGGAGGTCAATCTTTAGGTATCAATCTCCTTTCCAACATCGTGGGATCTCGCCGTGCCGCTCTTTCCCCGTCGGCGCGAATTTGACGGTGCAAACCCTAGAACGGGCCGCTTGTGACTCGTTTCCGCAAAATGTTCATCGCAATCATGTAGATTTTCCTTATCCTCCAATCATGTGTCCTTTTCGGTTCTGTTCGCCTGTGGAGGTTTCTGTGGCTGCGAATTAGCCATGGAAGCAGTAGTCACAGTTCTAAGGTCTCATCGCAGGACAAAAAGTTAAGCTATAAACAGGCCACAATTAGAGATCTATATAGGGCGATTGTGTTTTCAAAACAAGTAATCGTCGCCTCGTCGAATGCGGATGTATCCCCTGTTTTTTCTTCTTCCTCTTTTTTTTTTCTTTTCTGTTTGTTTCCCCTTAGAAACATCGAACGAACTTGCAATCCACTTCGGTCAGAAAAAAAGCAGTTCAATTCCCTAATCGAACGCATCCCTTTGTTTCAAGTGAGGATCCGGTTAGGTGCCCAGATCCTAAACTATGATGTCAATGGGGACGCTTTCAGATGTCAAGATGAACTGTGAGATATCATGGCTTGAAGCTGTAGTGGGTTCTCGGCACTCTAGTCTCACCCATTCTTGTGTGTGATAATTTTATTTTATTTTTTTTCTCAAAGGAAATGTTGGAACCATTTTAAGCAACGTCAAATGGGGTTTCTTAATTCTGAAAAATCTCGCCGCCAAGAAATGCTTTCCTTCCAAAAAAAGTCTGATGGGTGTTTTCCCGAAGAAACATGTTCATACGCTAGAAGGCTGATGGATGCGTGAACGACAGTAGCCAGGAAGGAGCGTTCAGTAGTTCAGAAATCATCTCTTTCAACGCTGTGTATAAGAATGAATGTTGCCAATCCGAATATGTAGTTCTCTCAGTCCATCTTCCCCCTCCCCCTAATATTCTTGTAGTGCTTCTGATCCTCCTGCCTTCCTCTCCGTGCTCCAGGGACAAGCTAGAGCTGAAGTCAGCGAGCGACGGCTCGGCCAGCTACGCGGCTCTGGAGAAGAAGGCCGAGCTCTACGAGAAGCTCTGCAGAGGGGAGCTTCCGGACGAGGATGAAGTCTACTGCGTCGACTTCTTCAGGAAGAACGTCGTCCAGGAAGAGGAGGCGGAGCCCCCCGGTGCTCCCCCGGAGAACTGGAACGGCGCCGGTGACGGCGATGGCGCCGACGCTGACGCCGACGCAGACGCGGTGGTGCTGGCGGCGAAGCTGATCGGGCCCGGCCGCACGAGCGCCCTGATGGACAGAGACGAGCACAAGAGATTCGTGAGGTACTCTACGACATGGGTCCCAGTGTGGAATTAGATCTGAACTCGTCCATCTCTTGGTAAATGGGGATGAAGTTGAAGAAGGTTCTCACTGGCGTGATGGTGAATCTCCGCAGGGAGGTCCACGAGGAAGCGAGCGAAGCGAGGGAGAAGGCGTCGGAGCTCAAGCTGCGGAGGCGGGAACAGGAGGCCGCCCGCCGGGACAGGCTCAGGCAAGCTTACCTCCGTAAGCAACTCGACAAGCTCAAGGCCGCGCAGCAGACCCAGCCCTGAAACCGTAACTATAAATCCCTCTCTTCCTGATTTCTCTCTCTAATCCCTCTCTGTCTCTGAGATTTCTCTTGTATACTCTCTGAGATCTCTCTCATTTCTGGGCGTTGAGCCTGGATCTCATCCCTCTCCCTCTCTCACTCTCTCTCTCCTCCTGATTTCTTTCTCTGATCTTCTCTCTCTGATTTTTCTCTCTGAGAGATTTCTTTTGTGTCTTCCTGCTCTACGTCCCCTGCTCATTTCCGGGCCTGGTCTTATTCACGTGGCGAATTAGCATTGTCACGTATGAGGAGGGCCGGGGAACAATCTTCTTTTGGGCTCTTTTTTCCCGTTGTGGGCCTCGTAAATGCGTTTCAAACGATTCTAGGATTCCCGACTGGCTCGCCGACCGTTGAGGGCTCCCAGCGTTTCAAATCTCTCTCTCTCTCCTATTTTCTTTCGCCGACCGTTAGACTCTCTCTCTCTCTCTCTCTTTCTACACAGGTTCTGGATCTGGGTGGGCTACTGCCCACAATTTGTGACCATCTATCTGGTTTCTGGGATTTCAGTCTGCTGGTGTTGGCGGAGGGATTCAGAGAATTTTTGAGGGAGCCGGCGAGACTGGGTGCGAGTGTGCCATGGCGAGGTGGTCCTCTGCGCCGCGAGGGGGAGGAAAGGCGTCCGGCGGAGGAGCTAATGGCCGCGGCGCCGAAGAGATCGCCGCTATCGCGGATTCGGCGGCGGTGGCTGCCGTGGAAACGGGCGGAGGAGAAGAACGGCGGCCGCCGGTGAGCGGCGAGAATAGACCCGCCGCCGGTGGCGAGGAGCATCGCTACGACTTCCGCGTGTGCGGCCCCCGCAATCTTTCCTCTCCAAACTGGAGGGATATCTTCAATTCCAGCTGGTAAAAGACACACTCTCTCTCTCTATAATTTCTCTCTCGCCCCCCGATCTCAGATGTTTCCTTCCATCTCTGCTCTCTTTCCTTCGATTACAGTCCCCCGATCAGACCTCTTCTTGAGGTTTTCTTGATCATCCCATCCCGCCAACCTTCTCTCTTTATTCTCTCTCTATCTACCTCTCTCTTGCCTGTACTAAAAAGATTAGATGATGGCGGTCGTGGTGAATGGCAGGAAGGATCCCAAGTACAAGAGGATGGCGATCGCCTGCTTCATACAGGGGGTCTACCTGATGGAGCTCGACAGGCAGGAGAAGAAGAAGAGGGCAGCGGCGGTGGCGGCGGAGGCGGTGGCGGAGGAGGTCGGCGGCGGTAGCGCCGGTGAGCTGGCCCCAAGGTGGTGGCGGCCCTTCAAGTACAAGCTCGCGGAGACCCTGGTGGACGAGCGCGACGGCTCCATTTACGGCGCCGTGCTCGAGTGGGACCGCGCCGCCGCCCTCTCCGAGTTCATCCTCCTCCGACCCGCCGCCGCACCGAGGGCCGTCGTCGCGCTGCGGGGGACCCTCCTCAGCGGCGCCACCATCCGCCGGGACCTGGAAGACGACCTCCGCTTCCTCGCCTGGGAGAGCCTCAGGGGCTCCGCCAGGTTCGCCGGCGCACTCCATGCGGTGGCGGCTGCGGCGGAGCGGCACGGTGGCGCCGCCGTCTGCGTCGCCGGGCACTCGCTCGGCGCCGCCCTCGCTCTGCAGGTCGGCAAGGCGCTCGCCAAGGAGGGGGTCCTCGTCGAGTGCCACCTCTTCAACCCGCCCTCCATCTCCATGGCCGCGAGCTTCAAGAGCTTCGGGGAGAAGGCCGCCGCCGCCTGGAAGAGGCTCCGGGGGGGGGACGACGGAGACGGAGACGGCGCCGCCGCCGCCGCCGCTGGCGAGGGGGAGGCTGCGGCGGCGGCGAAGAAGGAGAAAAACAGGTGGGCGCCGCATCTGTACGTGAACAATAGCGACTACATCTGCTGCTACTACTACGCCGACCGCCCCTCTGTCGCCGGAGAAGAACAAGAAGAAGAAGAAGAAGAAAAAGGCGAAAGCGGTGGCGGTGGGGTTGGTGGCGCCGCCGGCGGGAGGAAGGAGGGGGCAGCCGCGGCGGCGAAGCTCTTCGTGGCGGCGAAGAAAGCCCCGCAGAAATTCCTCGAGGCCCACGGCCTGCAGCAGTGGTGGTCTGACGACATGGAACTCCAACTCGTCCCGGGCAACCGGAGCAAGCTCATCGACCGGCAGCTCAGGTCTCTCTACACCGCCACCGCCGCCGGCGCCGCCCTCCCACAAAGGCTCCCCTAGATGACTGGCGGCGCCGCCTGTAAATCTTTCCTCCTTCCACACTGATTTGTTCGTTCGTTCGGACAAGGAGAACAGCTGAGCTGCTCGTAGTAATAATAATAATAATAATAATAACAATAATAATAAAACCTTCTCCGTTGAGTTCTACAAGTATATGACATCGACTCGTGGATCTCTCTCTCTCCCTCTTCTCTCTCTCTCGTTCTCTCTCTCTCTCTCTCTCTCTCTCTCTCTCTCTCTCTCGCTCTCTCTCTCTCTCTCCCTCTCTCCCTCTCTCGCTCTCTCTTTCTTCCTCTCTCTCTCTCACTCTCTCTCTCTCCCTCGCTCTCTAGAGCGAGCAGAGTTGAGGATGGAGGTGCTCTTCTCCGGTGGTGTCCACGGCGGTGCTGAGCTCCTCCACGAAGGACATCAGTTCCTTGGCGGTGACCTCCTGGCCGTCCTCCCCGAAGATCTCTTCGCTCATTCCGGCGAGCCGCCGCCGCAGACCGTCGCCGGCGGGGCCCATCACCTCTGACAGGCCCTCCTCCAACGCCCCTCGCCGCATACTCTCCAGCCTCACCCCGATCTTCCAGGCCTCCACGATGTACCGGCTGTTGACGAACTGGTCGCCGGCGAGGGGGTAGCAGAGCAGCGGCGTCCGGCAGCGGATGGCCTCCATGGTGGAGTTCCATCCGCAGTGGCTGAGGAAGCACCCCACGGCGCCGTGCCGGAGCACCGCCAACTGCGGCGCCCACTTCACCACCTTCCCCAACGAGGAAGTAGACGACGACCACCGCTCGAGAAACCCTAGCGGGAGTCCGCTCCTCCAGGCATCGGGCATGACCCATAGGAACGGCCGGCCGGCAGACTCCAGGCCCTGCGCGAGCTCGGCGATGAGGTCGCCGCCGATGGGCGGTACCCAGCTGCCGAAGGAGACGTAGACGACGGAGGCGGGGGGATGAGCGTCGAGCCAGCGCAGGCAGCTGGAGTCTTCCTCCCAGAAGCTCGAGGCGCCGCCACCGGCCGCCGCGGGCTCCAGCGGCGCCACCCGGAACACGCGCAGCGTAGCGGCGGCAGCGCCGGCGTCGCCGGAGAAGGTGTTGGCGATGAGCCAGCGGAGAGGCGCCCACCGGTTGATGGCCCGCTGCCAGAAGGCGAAGCGGGCCATCTGGGAATTCAGGTCGCCGACGAGCCACGGCAGGTCCTCCGTCGTCAGCCTCGGCAGGACCTCCGATATGCTGCTGGTACTGCTTCCGACCCCTCCTACGGCGAGGGGAATCCCTGCCATGGTTCTTCTTAGCTCCGCCAGCGAGAAGGGAGAATGTTACGGAGGAAGGTTTCAAGTTTCAGGTTTGAGGGGCTTACCGGAGGAGGAGATGAGGCGGCGGCGGATCAGCTCCGGCGCGGAGCAGATGAGGTCGTAAGTGGCGAGCATGCCCGTCCAGAAGCCTGCCACCGGCACGGAGCAGCGATCGGCGGCGGCTATAGCCCACGAGGCCAGCATATCGGAGACGACGAAAGCGACGTTGTGGGTCCTCAGGAGGGCCTCGAAGGATGGCGGCATGGTCTCCTCCATGGCGCGGTCGATCGCGGAGAAGTTCGCCGCGCCGCCCTCGTTGAGACCATCGGGGAGGCACCGGAAGACGACCTCGCCGGCGCCGGCGCCGCCGCCGGGGAGGCTGCGGTGGACGGACTCCGGCAGTGCGACCACCGCGCGGAACCCGTGGCGGCACAGCGCCACCGCCAGTTGCACCATCGGCGTGACGTGGCCTTGCGCCGGGAACGGCACCAACACGACTACCGCCGCCCTACTACCGTGGTTTCCCACATCCTCGCCCATCTCTCTCTCTCTCTCTCTCTATTTGTTTGGCCGCTCTCGGGGCGTTTACATCCCAACTGTTGTATGTATAAAGCAGTGCACGCTTTCCTCATTTATCTCTCTCTCGCCGAATTCGTTGAGCACCGGTCAGCGGTTGGCCGCAAGAGCGGAAGTCAACGTCGCTAGCGCCTCTTGCAGACAGATCGCTCTGGCGGCGGCGGGCTGCTTCCCCTTGCGTCGGCACTACGTTCGGTGCGTGTTCCGCAGCGATATGTTATATTCCAGTGAACGCGTCACGATAGCACACGTATCGCCTGCGTGCGTCGCAATACGAAGAATCAGGGAGCGGATGATGTATCAAGAAGCTCGGCGCCGCGTTTCGAATTGCGGCTTGTGGGGATCCACTCTTCGATTGGCCACGTTTATGTCCTGAAAGCACCACCCCACCAAAAGGAGGGGACAGTTTTTCCTCCTAATTAATGCCATCTTAGAGCTCTGACTAATGGATGTTGACTAGTTACATTATTTAGAATAAAATAATATTATTACCCACAAAGACTTGCCACCATCCCATTTGTCAAAAAGTCCGCCATACTTGGGAGCTGCAGGAATGCAAGCAAGTCAAAAATTTGTGCCGAGATACTAGTCAAAGAAACAAGTGATGCCGAACAATGCCTAAATTAGCATTAGTTGCCCATTTTGTTATTATGAATCTATGAACAGTAAACTTTGCTAGGTCTTTACCTACCTAGGTAAACAATAAAGGAATTAAGACTGAATAAGTAAACTGTATTTAAGAAGGTCAAGTTGATAGGGTTATGATGTGACTTAGTTGTTGTATAATAAATCACATAAATTTAAATTTTATAAAACTAAAAAGTACTAATTTTTAATATTTAGAAGTATTTTTCAACAAATATATCAATTATAATTTAATAAAATTTCGAAAAAAAAAATCAAATCAATCATAGGGATATAATATAATATCAAGAATTTTTTTAGAATTTTATTTAAATAATATGTTTTTTATAAATTTTAGACTAAAAAATAAAAATAAAATATATTTAATATTTATAAATAAAGGAAATAAATGATGCAGACATCAAGATGATGTCAGCACCCAATGAATGTGAATGAGCGGAAATATAATTCTGTTCAGTGATTTTTCTGTAAGTGATTACATATGATTTAATTAGTCAAAAGATTTATAAAAGTCAAAAGAATCGTAATTGAATGAAGAGTAGTTTGGAAATTTTAATCACACAAGTTATCTTTAATAAAGTGAAAATTAAGCTGAAGAGAAGAACATAAGAGTTTTGACCTCAAAATAGTGATCACTACAATTCTGTGTTCGAGAGGGTCATAGAACAACATCTATGGCCTCAAAGGCTCTCTTTAGACATAAATGACTTAGGTATTTATTAAATCTCCTTTCAAAATCTAGAAAATGATAGTCAAAGTTAAACTAATTAAAAAATAGTAAAATAGAATTCCAACATCGTAGTGGCAATGCATTAGCGATACACCAAAATTTTGAACATTCAGGAGTATTGTCATACAATGTTCATAGCCTCAAAAGCTCTCCTTAGATAAGGATGATGTGGACAATCTCTAAATCTTTTTGCGAAGCCTAAAGATTAATGAAATAGGTCGTTAATTTTCCAACGACTATCACATGACGGAGTGAAGTTGGATGAAGGTGGGGTGCATGTTAGAGAGCTTCATCTTTAGGTTCGCATAGCAAGAAGAGGCTCTTCATCGTATCTGATATGGTCTCAAAAGGTGGCGACTTGTCTCCTAGTAGATCGTTTTTTTTCCGACGATGATTTATTTATCAATCAATTAGACATACTTTACTTGATAGATTAGTGATCTTTTTGTCACGAATCATTTAACAATTTTAGTAATAATACTTTGTGAATTGTGTTGACGAGATTTTCACCGATGATTGAGTAATTCTGACAACTTAATCCTTCATCAATAATTTATAAGAAAGTCATAATTTAATCATATAAAAATATAAGTTTTGGCTTTAATAAGATTCGAACCTACACTAGTCGTCTGCTTATATGAGAAAGAGTGAAATAAATAATCTAATATCCTTATAAAGTGACATCATCATAGTATATTACTATTATAACTAAGAGGTATTTTAGACATTGAAATAAATAAAACTATTTAGGTGTGACATGGGTTTGATCCCACATCGGTTGTATGCTAAAGTTTTGGATGAATATATAATAATATCAGCTTTTCACATGTGCAACCACTTCTTACCTCATAGCTAACTAACCACTAGTGACATAGAAGAAGAGTGGCACACATGTGTCCCTATTGGTCTATAGTTACTTGAGCCCTTGCTTGTGGCTCCGCATCAACAGTGCTTCCGACTCACTTGTAGGCTTGATTGGCTAGTAGGTCCCCCTCTTTTTCTATTTTTTATTATATTTTATTTTATTTTATTTATCTCAAAAATAAAATTATAAAAATCATCTAAATTTATATAAAATCACATAATTAATAAAAAAAATCACATTAATCAATTGAAAATCACTTTTCACTATTTAACATAAATATAAGTCTATTTATCATGAGTTAAGGCTAAAAATATATTATTTATTAATTATTAACTCATGATAATGAATACTTATTAGGTTATTATTTGCCTATTCAGTTCATGAAAGATGAATTTATTATAAACAAAAAATTAAGATATTTTTTACAAAAAGTGAATAATAATCTAAATAATAATTAAGACTATGCTTTATTTTAAACCCTAAAAATAAATATTCAACTACAAAACTAAATTAGAAAAGTCTAACATCCTAAGAATTTGTCTAACATCTATCAACTACTAATATGGTTTATAAGATTATTATCTTTATTTACTCTTGATATTTAGTAAATCATCTCCGATTGATTGATAAACAAGTTGTCATCGAGAAGAGGATGATCTACTAGGAGACGAGTTGCTACCTTTTGAGAGTGTACCAAATGCGATAAAGAGCCTCTTCTTGCTATGCGGACTTGAGGATAAATCTCCCTAACACATGCCCCACCTCCATCTAGCTCCTCTCCATCAAGTGATAGTCTTTAGAGAGCTACAAGGTCATCATTTTTCCGCTCCATCGAGTGACAACCGTTAAAGACCTACAAAGTTGTCATTTTTTCACTTTGCTAAGTGACAACCACCAGAGACGATTTGAGAACCCATTTCATTGATCTCTAGACTTTGCAAAAAGATCTAGAGATTGTCTATGTCATCTTTGTCCAAAGAAAGTTTTCAAGGCCATGAACACTATAGGATAATTATTTTGAACACTTAGAATTCTAGTGTATCATCGACGCATTGCTGTTGCAACATCAGAACTCTATTTTCTTGATTTCAACTTAATTTTCGATTCATTTAGAGATAATTGAACTTGATTCTATATGTGAATGAGCTTATATGGAGAAAATTTCTAATTAGATTTACAACCTTTATAAGAATTGAAGTAAAACTTCTAGAGATCAAGCCTCCTTAAGTTATATAATAAGGATAAGAAGAGAAGAATTTATAAATTACATCATCAAAATAATTTTGATTTGAGAAATAAAATTAATCAGATTAATTAAATATTAGAAAAACTTGATTTACTTATTGACAATATTAGAAAGTTTCCTGACCCTCAATTTAATTTATATAGTACTTGTATTATGTATGATGAAAATGATCATCGAATTTCAATGCTATAATTTAGATCAATCATTTCATCTTATACAACAAGTGCAAGTATCTCACAATTTTAATAGAAATAGGGAGCCTTTTTCTCATTCTTATAATCCTAATTAGAGGAATAATTTTTTCTGGAGAGACTTAAATAATATTTAAAATTCAAAAACATTTAGATCTAATTTAAACTTTAAATTTTGTTCAAAATAGAAAAATAGATTTTATAAAAATTAGCCCTCTCAAACCTAACCTAATGCTATGTAAATGATGTAGTAAATTATGAATCAAATAATATTGTAGTAAAAATAATTTATAGAGGCTCTTGGGAAAAGAAAGAAGATGAACAATTACCTAGTCAGCCCATAAAAAATTTAGGGAACTACCCAACAATTGGATTTCAGCAAGGGGAGTCTAGTAGTAAGAATCTAAGAAAAAACTCACAAAATGAAAATGTTAGGACAGTGAATGCATTAAGGAGTGGTAAGATTTTACTTGATCCTTATCCCCAAATATTAGAAGAAAAGAAAAATGTGGACAACCAAAACAAAATTAAATAGGAGTAGAAGAGAATTTTATAAATTCTACCAAGAATCTTCCAAAAGAGAAGACAAATATTTCATTTCCTAAAACTCTAGAGCCTAGACAACGAAAGAAAAATGAACACAATGAAGAAATTAAAAAAAATCTACAAATGTGTAAATTAATCTTCCTTTACTTACTATCATTAAACATATTCCTAAATATGCTGAAGTTTTGAAAGAAATGTGTACATCAAAAAGGGCACCTAGAGTAGAAAAATTATCTATGTATACTAGTGCTTTAGTATTAAATCAATTATCATACAAATTGAGAGATACTAGTGCCCCTTTAATTTCATGATATTGGTAAGCTCATTTTTCAAAATATATTACTTAACACTAGTGCTAGTATTAATTTATTACCTGCAATTATTTGTCATAAATTTAATATTTTTGATCTTAAACTTTTTACTATTACCTTATAATTTGTTGATAGATTCATAAAACAGTCTAAAGGTATTTTAGAAAATGTAATAGTGATAGTTAAATAGTGTAAATGTTTAACTGATTTTGTAGTATTAAAAATAAATTTTAATGGATAATTTTAAGATACACCAATTATCTTAGGGAAACCATTTTTACATACAGCAAAGAAGAATATTGATTTTCCCACAAGTATTGTGAAACTTTTATGTGGAAATCAATTAGTAGAAATTAAAAATTTTGAGGTATCAAATGATCTTAAAAAATCCCAAGTATATGATTGTCATACTATAGATCTTTTAGATGAT